CTTCAGCCTATTCTACGCAGACGTAGTCGCGGGCAGCAGCTAGTTTACAATAATTATAACAATCTCTCGTTGTTTTCATCAGCCTGACGCCGGTGCGCCGGTAACTGCTGACGACGGCTTGTGGGGCATCCAGTCCGGCTGGACTTCAGAGCGCTGCCTGGAGCAACCGAGCCCGACGATACTCACGCGCGTCTCCACTCCGCTGGTACGCTCATGGATAAAGGCCCAATTGGACAGCGTGTGACGGCGACATCTTAACACCATGTTGGAATTTAGCACTTCCGCGACCCCTTAGTAAGGTGAAGCTGTGACTTCGCGGAAGTTTCCAGAATACCCCCGATATCTTTCAGCAAATTTTACCCGGACGTTAGCGACTCCCGAGTATTCTGACACTGACTTTGGAGGGTTGCTTCGACTGTTTTAGCTCCAAAAAATCATTGAATTCTGATGGAATTAAAGTATAGAGGGTGAAGTTTGGAATAGACACTGAGACTTCGGCGGAGCTTGTCTCTTACCCCAACCCCTTCACCAGATTCTGAATCCCGAAAATAATAATTTTCGAGTACAGATTCAAACTTACTTTACTCCTTTGTTTTTATTTAATTACTTAAATGTACTAAGTTAAAGGGCAGATAGAGGTTTGAACAAATTATAGAATTCAAAATCCGGTATTGCTAACATCGGCAAGTTAATGACAAAAAAATACGTTTTTATTAGTTGACTTGGTGGCTAATCTTAGATTTAACAAACGAGCTAGATAATCATTAGTAATTTCACTAAGAACTATGGGTTTATTATTCGCGTAAAATAATGTTCAAACGAACACTCCCATTACGTACCGTACTTGAAAATGGTTTGACGTTTATGTTAAAATAGATGTTTTAAATATAGGTCAATGTAAATATTATAATGACATTAACCATTTTGTATTTTTTTTTAAATAAACGTATACTCACTGTATTTTCTTTATGTGTTATTGCCATTATCGACCGTTTAGCTTAGTCGCTAGAGCGTTTGGGCGAATTACCAGAAAGGCTCAGGTTCGTATCCTGGCATCGAAGAAATATTTTTGGACGATTTATCTACACATTTTCAAGTTTCATCTTACGTGCAGAGATGGTAGTCTATAAAAATATATTCAAATAATTTTAATATCAAATTAATAGAAGCCGTAACATTTAATTGCACTTTATTTCTTGTCGTAGTAAAATGTGTAAATGACACTTAATACAATTTGTATGTGGGATGGAGACGAACTTGGAGGAAAAAATGTTGATGAGTGATTACCGCCGCGTTTGTGTCCAACAAGCATTTGGTACAAAAATCTTATTAGCTGACCCACCCAATGTTTTAATGAAGATGACGCATGCCCATACTGGACGGCGTTTAAAAATTGTTCAGCTTTACATTATGTGACGTATATAAGTGAATGTGACAAATTATATAGTACGTATGATACGGAAAGAGTAGCAGTCTATAGAGTTGCAATGCTACTTGGCGTAATTTGAGTGCCTCAGTTTCGATGCGCTAATGCCATATCCACCTGGTATTTGTATATAATATAATTGAACTCACCAAGTGAAATGTAAAAGTTTGAATACTTGGTACAGTGAACAAATGTGCGAAGAATAGATCTACTTTTATTCTTCTCTTGGGCTAGAAACATTCGTGGGCAATAAGCACAACATTTATACAGGGAGGCTTTTCTAAGTGTATCCATTTTTTTATTTAATTCTAGACATAAATAATGCTATATAAAATTATGTATTTAAAATCACTCATAATTAATTAATTACATTCGATTGAACTTATCTCAAAAAGTGCGTGATTTATGAGCAACTCATTTATTTTACGAGCGATCATTCACAACTAACACGCACAAGTTCGTTTCAAAAGTATATGACGCATTTTTCTACATATTTTAATATGACGCATTGTCAACAAGTTCTGTTTTTTAAGGAATAGAATAGCATTTTTTTGGAAAAAAAAGTTTGTTATTATTTAAATAAACGATTATACTACCGAGTCTGAAACTCCTGTGTGAATTTGGGCACCTTGAAAAAAGCCACCCTGTATATAACTAGCGACTCGCCCCCTCTTGGCGCGAGTACAATGTATTATATATAAACCTTCCTCTTGAATCACTCTATCTAGTAAAAAAACCGCATCAAGATCCGTTGCGTACTTTTAAATAGCTAAGCATACATAGGGACAGACACAGTGGGACGACTTTGTTTCATACTATGTAGTGATAAAGAAGATTTATCTCTGCAGAGTCCATGGTCCCGGAATGCCAAGTGTTTAAAACTTCGGAAATTAAACTCAAAATTAAATATTTATTTAAAAATTTATGTACACGATCTTTTTATATACAAAAATAAATTATATTATATTATAGGAATTTTTTGTACAAAGGCCCTGCTTATTTTTGTTGATAAAGGAGCAAAACTTTCTCTCTCTTGCGTCTCGTGGTGTCTATGTATATTATTTGTAAGGTGTTGTGTGCTGTATATAATGCGCACTGGCTGTCGCCAAGCAATGCTAAAAATGCTTGAAATAATGTATGAAATATTATATGTCCATCAGCGCCCTCTGCTTAAACTATTGTTATTTATGTCTATGATTGTCTTTTGGTGTTGTCTATAAAAGCACTTAATAAAGTCGATTTCGAACAACAGCAGTGTTTTTTTAATACGAACGTAGATAGATGTCAAGATTTTCGAGTTGTGAAGTCATCGTCCGCTTAGCTTACGCCCGGTTTCTGAAACACTGATCATCTTAGATGTCAACTAATCAGCTCTCAAATGGATTTCAAATTTCATTTTATTTGCCAAAAGGATGTTTAAACTCTTTGAATTGATCATTCTGATCGTAAAGGTCATTCTGGTCAATTCAGAGAATTTAACCATCCTTTTGGTACCTAAATTGTAATTTGAAATCCATTTTACAGCTGATTGGTTGACATCTACGATGATCAGTGTTTCAGAAACCAGTTGCGTTGCAGGGCGTCAGTTGGTAAAGCGCCGGGGTGCAAAACCAGAAGACGCAGATTTGAATCCCGCAGCGCCGAAAGTTTTCGTTCATTTATCTACAAAAAGTTTCATCAAAATAAAAAAACAAATTTGACATGTAAATAAACTAATTTAACAATGTGTGGTATACTAGTAAACGTAAAAAATAATGAGCTCCATAAAATCAAAATCAAATGTATTTATTCAACATAGGAGCATTACACTCACTTATTGATAGTCAAAACACTACCACCGGTTCGGAAAAGAAAGCCACTGTACTGAGAAGAACCGGCCAAAGAAACTCAGCGGGCTTTTTTTTTTAAATAAGTAGTTTGACATAAATTCGTTAAAATACAATATAAGAACTCCGATTGAAAGAGCCTGGAGCGATCAGTTCATTACCAGAGTGTGTTATCATTTAAATAATCATTAATATTATAGCTTTAACACACAAACGTTCTTTTACTATTTTTTTAAATTTAGCTATTGATGCATTTTGAACGTTTTCTGGAATTTTGTTGTAATAACGTATACATTGTCCCATAAAATATTTACTTATTTTACGGAGTCTACTTGTGGGTAGGATCAATTTATTTTTGTTCCTAGTATTTATATCATGAACATTATTATGTCTTAAAAATTTATCCTTATTTTTATGGACATACAAAACATTTTCAAAAAATGTATTGAGCAGCAACAGTCAATACCTTTATCTCTTTAAACAAGTTTCTTAACGATTCTTTGGGGCCCAGATTGTAAACTGCACGAATAGCTCTCTTTTGTAAGATAAAGATTGTATTAATGTCGGCCGCGTTACCCCAAAGCAGAATGCTATAAGACATTATACTGTGAAAATAACTAAAATATACCAAGCGAGCCGTATCAACATCAGTTAACTGTCTTATTTTTTTGACCGCGAAATAATATAAAACAATGAAGTGAGACACAGTTATGAGTATGGTTATAAAAAAATCACTTAACTGCTCTCTCGTAGTGTCAGAACAGTTTTATTAATATCGTTTACATCCAATAGGTGTGTTATTTTTAATAATAAAAGTAGGTAATTTAAGTTATTTTCTGTCAATCTAAGTAACAATCTTTAGAATAATGTCAGGGCAGAGTTCCCACCAATTAGAATATTTTTTGCCTACTTTTTCTTTAGTATATGTAGTCATCATCAACAGCATAGCATTCCACCAAAGTTGAACAAAGGCCGCAGGCCGCTTTGACAGCCTCAAAGTGCGATCTGTTGATGGGCATTTGCCACGTATATCCTATACATATAACTGTGAAATGCCCAACGAATTACATTGCCACGTTGGTGCGGTACTAGATAAAAATATCTAATCATCAGTCATCATCATCACTATTTAAGTAATATCTTTATTATCATATCGATATAGGATATATTGTATAGCTACAATATAGGTACGTCACATATTATTATATATCTTCGGTTATGCGCATCCAGTTGTCACCAGCAACCAAGCATAGGTGATTCCTCCACTGGGCCGGGGGCGTCTTAAACATCTACTACAATGGGAAGTGGCTTCTGATGGGAACGTGACCAGCTAACTGCCAATATTGACAGCGTATTCGAGGCGATTAATTCTTCAGTGATTTCTTCATTTCGAATCGAATAGTTCATGCCATCAGTGTTTATATTATGATGTCATCGTCCAAAAATTGTATTATTATTCTTCATTAGAATGAGCTCAATGAATAATTTATTATTTTTAAATAATACAGTTACTTTTCAACTTCTTCCAATGAGTATACAGTCCCTGAAAGCAATGCATTCATCCATTCCAAATGTTCCTTACATTGTCTTACATCTTTTATAGAATTTTAGCTTGTATCGAGGGCAGCTTTATTTAATACAGCTGTAAATATTACAATTTAAGTTGTGTATTTTACATTTTTTAATCGTTTTATTACTTTTTTAGATCACAGTATTTGCTTTAAGAATACTTTTATTATGTCACACTACTTCTTCCTAAGCTCTTCCTCGATCTCCTCGTCGCTTTTGCCCTTGGTTTCGGGAATGAAGAGGAGGCAGATAAAGAAGCCGGCAAGGTTGATACCGCAATAGAAGAAGAAGTTTGCGTGCTGCCCCAAGGAAGCGCTGATCGGCGAGTACATATACAACTGGAAGAAGGACATGAACCACGAATACGTAACCGCCAACCCCATGACCTTGGCCCGGATCTGGAAACAATAAAGATAATCACCATCATCCTCCTGCCCTTATCCCACCTAGGTGGAGTCGGCACAACACGTGACTCGTGTTGTAAGCGGTTTTGGCTTGTTTTTACGACCGGCCGCCTGCTTGACGGCGACCCTCCTTGGGAAACAAGCGCTCAGATCCGGAAGAATTATCTGTGGGTCACACAAATACTTCTGCCCACGTGGGAATCGAACCCACGACCCCCGACGCCGTGGCCAATAGCTTGGCAACAGCCCCACCGAGTCAGCGAAGAAGATAATGATAAACAAATTTTACTTTTCACCAAGTCCAAGCCCAAGACCACCAGCAAACTAAGAACGCAAGTTAGCGTTTTCTGTATAAATGGATGTTAATGATATTAGCTAAGTTATTATGAACTAAGATTAAAGGCATCCAACATTTTCAAATAAAGTTCTTCCCCCTTTCTTGTCGTTTATTTACTCATGTCATGTCTCTACTTAAGGAACTGTAAAATTTTTCAAACCATATACCTAAAATATGCGTGCAGTTTAGGGATTTTCTTTGGCTGAGCCATCGCACAAGTGCATTTCTGCGTGTCTTCTCGTCTTCAATATTGCCAAGCAACATCAATTTTGATCTTTGCGAGCAAAATTGGCACGACAAAAGAAGATGACAGAGAAAGCTGTTGTAAGTTGGAGTTGGCTAAGTAAAAATATGTTGATAATTGAGTGCTACATCATTTGATCATCTCGAATGGACTGGTGCCTCCGGGCAAGTACCACAACTTTGCAGAAGACAGGCATGAAGTGGAAGTGTAATCCTTCTGCGATTCGTCACACGCAGAGCCTTATAAATATTAGCTGGAACCACACAGCACCGTGGTGATGACATCGTCATCCTCCTGCCCTTATCATTATATATAATCAAATTATATATAATCATTTTGTATGCTCTGAACCGTATTAAACAACACATTAACAATCATCATCAACCCTATGGGTTTTGCAAATGTCCATAGACGGCGGTTATCACTTAACACCGGGTGAATCGTCAGCTCGCTTGTCATGAAGATACGAACGGTGTTACCACTCATGTGACAGGAAATTTCATAGAATAAAAATTAATTTTAATCTACTTCTACTTAATAATCTATTATCATTACTTTTCAAAATTAGTAATGATGTTAAATCATTGATAATGAAAACTTGACCTAACAACAAAATCTGTTGACTCACTTGATAGTTGAGCATTTCGGACATGATGATGAAAGGCATTGGAAGAACACCGCCGCCGTAAGCAAACAGGGCCATCATCATGGCGAGCACTGGCAGCCAGCTCGGTGATGAGACGCCGTGAGATTGCAGCACCAGGGCTGCCCCAAGGGTGCCCATGGAGCTGGCGGAAATCAGCAACGATCCCCCCAGAAGCGGCTGTAACCACACGGCACCGTGGTGATGACATTCTATCATCATCATACTCGTGTCCTTACCCCACTTAGGATGGTTGGCACAACGTGTGGATTATATTATAAGCGGTTTTGGTGGGTCAACCTTCCTTGTGAATTTTGATGATATTTTTCTGTATCGGATATTAATCAGTTATTTAAGTAAGGGTAAACAAGTAAGTAAGCAGTTATTACATTGATATCTTGTTTTTACGCGAATATTACAGCAAAAAAGTATTTTACGGATTTTATAGTGTTTGATAAGATATATATTTGATAAGATTTTTAAATTCCCGACGTTTTGAACCCTTTCCAGCGTTCATGGTCACGGGACAGTCTCTCCCGTTCATCGTCATGGATCTAATTTAATGCGATGAAATCTTTATTACCTACTTTAATAGTTTTATTTGACTGGCAGTCATTAGTTGGAGAAACGCCAACCTTCTTACCTTACGGCCAAACCTTTCTACACAGCTCATGGACATGAAAGAGCCGATCATCATCACGATGGGGAAGCTCAGCGTCTGCAGCTCGGGACTGATGCTGAACTGGACTCCGCTGGAGGCGAGAGTGCTGGATCCGTACGTGATGATGGCGACAGCGCCGTTGGTTGCGTGCACCGATATGATGAGAAGGATCAGGAAGACAGTCCGCCTCCATACTCTGTTTCGAACTGTAATATCACCTATTACAGTACTTACTTGGCGCCAAAACATTGCTAATAATGCTATAAAAACAAAGTACTTAATGAAAAAGTCAAGATTTTCCAGCGGTTAGGTAATCGAACTTAGTAACTTCTGAGCGCGTTACTCATTTTTTTCAGACATTTTTTCGAGAATTTATCTAAATATGTTAATTACTTTTTTGATATAAGGTTTCATGTTAGACATCATGTGACATATTGGACGAGAAGACGAAGCAATGACGAGCACAAGAAATACAGATTGGATGTCGTTAATCGTTAATTAACTTACTTAATTTTTACTACTTACATATGGAAACGAACGAAATCTCAGGTATCGTTTTATAATACAATTCTTGATCTTTCATGGTGTCGACTTCGTTCAGGACTATTTTGCTGTTTACATCCAGACCTCTCAGATATGCAATGGAATTGATAGCATCCTAAAATTACACACAATTATTCTTTCAAATTGAAAAAAAAAACTTATCACCTCCCGAGAAGAAAGTTAAAGGTTGAGGACATGCAGTGCTAATTGTCTTGTCCCAATTAATGTATTTTGCCGTAGAAAAAGAAATTGCTTACCTGAATCCTACCCTTGTGTACCAGAAATGCAGGTGACTCTGGGGCTTTGATCATCAGGACCGCAGTAAACAACGGTATCGAGAACACGATCCAGATAATCGTGTTATAGTCGATGTACGCCCCCATAACGTACATTATGAATATGCCCGAATTCTGTGAGACGGTGAGCAGAGAGCCCAGTAGACCTCTTATGTTTTCCTGACTGATTTCCTTGACGTACATCGGCACTATGGTGAAACAACCGCCCGCCGCGAAACCACTCAATGCCCGCGCCACGAGTAAGCCAGCTGTCGACTTCCAGGACAGCCGGATTATCCATGATAACTGTTAAAAGGAAACACTTTTTAAAAGGAGCCAAAAGCACACATATTTTTGCAAGAATTATGTCACGAGTTCGTTCTTATTTCTTTATATTTATTTATTTATTTATTTAAAGAACGCCAACATAATGTACACTATTTAAGACTTAGGAAAATAAATATACATCACTGTTCGTTAGTGTCATTACAATTAAAGGCGCTGACAGCATGCAATATAATGGGCGAGAAAAATACAGTTAAAGATATTTTTATTGTTACAAAATCCAAAATTAAAACAAGAATTAATAAATTAAAAACAAATAATTGATAAAGGAAATAACAGTAAAAAACATTAAAGACAGTGATAAACAATTAATTTAGGTATGATTATGCAATAAATTTAGGTATGATTTATACATGGACTAATAATACTATTTAAGTTTCTACAAGTACATGGGGAGATCAGGAAATCTGTTTGACAATAAACCAGGCGAAAACAGTCAAAATGAGTAACAACAATCCGTGATTATTAAAGTAATATAGTATTTTCGGAAAATAATTTTAGCAATTCTTTCTTTAGCTTGGCGGCACTATCTGAAAACAAGTCCGATGTTGAAGTTCTCGAGATTTTATTGTAATTCCTAACCATTCTGTTTAAAGGCGCTTGCTGTCCAAGGTTGGATTTACATGAACAGTTCGAGAAAATATTAAATCTAGAGCGTCGGGGCAGCTTTGAGGGAACGGTAAAGTTTAAAAGGGACAGCAGATAAGGAGCATCAATAATGCCATTGGCAAGCTTTTGCAGGAAGAGAATTTCGAGCATTGCCCTTCTATCGCACAGAGAACTCATTCCGAAATGTTTCAGTCGATCAGAGTATGACGTAATGGTTTTCCCCAAATTACAAGAGTAAGTCAGGTGCCTTTTGTCTACCGTAACGAAAATGTGATCGACTAAAATCGTGATATTCTATATTGTTATATTATTCTATATCGTATATTCGTTCTACAGCATGCCAAGCTACAATTGTTGTGCCATGGCTAACTTCGGGCTCTTACTTGAAGCCTTAACTATGGAAGGTACAATCTCCTCTAATAACGTCCCTATAAAGTTGAGCAAGTAGCTCTGTCATAGATACTGAGTAGGCCATTATCCATTATACCCGAACTCAGTTGGATTTAAAAGAGCTAGGAAGTGTAATATCTTTCCAGAAAAACATAGAAACCCGTATGACTTATGAAATATTGGAAACACACTAAATCCAATCTACTGTGGATCTAATATAATATTTATAATACTAATCTAAGGTCATTCGTCATGAAAGGTGAAATTCATTAGCATCTAGAACACTCCCAAGCTTCGAGGTAAATATAGGAAAACTGTAGGAAATAGTAAAAGAGCTACGGTTCACCTGATAAAGTGTTTTCACCTCGTTCTCGAGACCTAAGTTGTTCCAATAAAATGATGGGGTTTCAGGTATGACGTTGACTGATTATTGTTATGAGGTTATCTACTTCCCCAATCGAGTCAGAAATTAGCGCAGCTGCTCTTGGGCTAAACCGTTATAGGCTCTGGTAGGATATAGAGTATCGCTTACAGATTGTTGCAGGGCCATTGCGATAACAGCGGCCTTCCGTCCATAGGCATCGGCGACGTAGGAGTAGATCAGAACGCTCAACACGGCCGCGATGCACAGGATGCTGGCTACCATTGAGAGCGTGCTGTCAGAAATGGGACTCCCTACCGGGGATTGGTCCGACTGCAGGGTTTTGGTCATCGGTGACATCCACCCTGTCTCCAGGCCGTACAGCAGGAGGGTGGAGTTGGCTGAAACAACGAATCACGTTGTTTTTGCTTTAGACCTCACTCACAGCGTTAATCTTTGACTTTGTGTGAATATGTGTTAGTAATTTTCATATTTTAAATGGTTCACTTTGATTAATTTCTATCGAGATAATTAAGTTTCAAACTTGGGCGAGCCCGTGTCTCTTAAACTGGTTTAAATGTTTTAATGCGGGTTTAAATTTTCGGTTTCCTTAAAGTAAGCTATTGGCTTCGGCTCTGGGGGTCATGGGTTCGTCCTCATGGGACAAGTATTTGTGTGACACAGATTATTTTTCCGGACCGGACATGGCCGGTCGTACAGAAAACATAGCCAAAACCGTTTATAACATAATTATCATGTTGTGCGGACTCCACGGAGGTAGGATAAGTACAGGAAGATGATGATGGCTCTTGAGCTATTGAAAAAATAAGAACAAGCGAGCTACAACGTATATACTTCCTTATGTAAGGAGAAAATATAACCTGTCAGGTCTATTGATAAGATTAGAATTTTTTTTTCTTGGCATTAAATTTTGTTTCTTTTTAATTTGGGAATGCATTTTCTTACCGCAATATGTGGGTAATGTAAGTTTATAATTAGAGGTATTTATGGGGGAGTGAAGAGGTTGTAATTCTTAATGGGCTCAACGAGACTGTTACAGAATGTCAAAGTCGCTTAAATATTTTTTTTTATTGCGTTTTATTTGTTGTTATAGCGGCAACAGAAATACATCAACTGTGAAAATTTCAACTGTCTAACTATGACGGTCCATGAGATACAGCCTGGTGACAAACCGACAGACAGACAGATAGAGAGCGGAGTCTTCGTAATTGGGTCCGAATTTATCCTTTGGGTACGGAACCCTTAAAATGACGACGAGTACAGGAAGATTTTGCCGTACAGTTATAATTGATTTAGTAAGTTCATGTATATTAAACTCGATATGGTCGATTTTACAATTTTGCCTCATTTACCTATTAAGGCCAACATCCACTGGACTCTCGTGTGACCCGTTCTTGATACAGTCTGTTCACTTGTTGCCATCATTATCTAATACTTAACACTTCACTAAAAAACTATTGTGTCCTATTATGAATAATATACAAATTCTATTATATTACACACGGACGAAGTTGCTACGTTCGACAATCACCCATTTTGAAGGAATCGGAAGCTGTGATCCAGTGGCAGATAACGGGCTCTTATAGCACTAGTATTGTTTGTCTGATACAGAGTGTTGTATTTATCAACAATGAGATCTATTCAATGATCGCTCAGAGATTCGGACGTCTTACGTCTGATGTGGTAATACATCACTGATCGGATCGATCAGTTCCTGCCTTCACTTGTAAACTCACAATTACGTGCAGAAATCACCCATCCATATATCAGTTCCCGGTTTATATGACCGGCCTATCAGATGTTACGTTTAGGATTAAAAATGGGAAATCAAAATTAAAACTAGTAAGTTTCGTTGAAATTGATAAGGGCGATAAAAAATTGTAGAATTAATAGAAATACCAATGGGGTGCTAGGAATGAGAGTTATATAATACTAGCTTTTCGCCCGCGGCTTCGCTCGCGTTGATGCCCTTAAATAAATATCTATCACCTTTAAGAACCCTTTATAACCCTTTTTTCAATTAAAAAATTTTCTTTTCTTTTATTTATTTATACTTTATTGCAATTACCTTAATCAAGGATTACAAAGAGTGAACTTAATGCCTTTAGGCATTCTCTCCCAGTCAACCCGGGGCGTGGAGATAAATTGTGGTAGGTGAATAAAAAAAAACATGTTCATTACTAATGTGAATGAAATATACAAAGTATGGAATATACACACGCTTAAATAAATATAAATACTTACATACATATATAAAAAATATGAATATACAAACATACACATACATATTACACATACATATTTTATATGTATGTGTATATTTGTATATATATATATATATATATATATCTTTCGCAGGCTCCAGACTACCGGTGTACCAAATTTCATTTAAATCGGTTCAGTAGTTTTGGTGTGAAAGCGAGACAGACAGACAGCATTTATAATATTATTGTATGGATTGAAATATCTTTGAAGAATATTAGGATATTATGGTCAACGGTAAAATAAGACAAAGAAGGTAAGGACAGAGAGAGAGAGAAAGAGAGATAGAAAGAGATACTTTAAAGTAAAATATGTATTTCTGATAATTATTTTCAAGCTCTTCCTCATATACCCAACCCCAACGCCAATCTATTATATTTTTTATCAACTCTACGAATGTTAGTACATACTAAATGCGAAAAACAGCGAATACTTATACCCAAATTACTCTATTTTTGTCGTGACACGGGTTTTGACGTCAATGATTTCTGAATAAACAATGCTTGACAAGTTAATACTGTTAGAGATTAAGTATCGTTTAAACAGAAATAATGTATTTGGTATTTTTTCGCTATACAAACATAAATTTTATCGTCGCCAAATAGTGTCTACGCGTAATGAACGTTATAGGGGTGATATCGAAAGTAAAAATAATTTACTAAATTTTCAAATAGTGACGTAAGTTAAATTAGCACCTAAAATGGTACAAGCATTGCACATACATATCAAGAGTTATTATAAACTGATATACAGATTATGATAATCAAAAAAATAGTTTTATATGTAAAAAATAGTTATACTATAATATAATCGCGGTGCATATGGTTTAATGATCTAGACAGAGCTAATGCTGGCAATTCATCTGTTTTATTATTTTACATTTTACAGGCACTGACTGCATCACAAGCTTTAGTTTTTCTTAAAAATACATATTTTTACCTGATTGGACAAAGGTTTACTAAAACGCGCGTGTTTGAATTAAATATCATGTAATATTATAGCAACTGGTTATGAATATTCAAACCAATTTTATACTTTTAAGTTATAGTACCTGGAGGACCGAGCTTTGCTCGGTTTGTTTTTTTTTTGGTAAATCATGTATTTTGGAAATTACATTTAGATACAAATTACTGAGTAATGAAACATGCAAAATATTTTTCGATCTTACCGACTTAATAATAATGAAAATATGATCTGGAATCGAAAAAAAGTAAAATTATAGGTGTGTAAATGATCGTGATACGAACCACGGCCGTCTGTTTTGAGGCCGCCCGATTACCGACCGAGCTATTATAACATTTTTTATCGTGGCGAAATTTACCGTCATATTCGAATGATATTTTTCATTCCCTTAAAACAGGGATGGACATTTTATAAAATTAAACCTAGCTAGATTGATTTTTCGCCTCCGAATCTACGCACATATACAGCGTGTCGTTACCATCGCGACAATAAATGAACACACGTCTAAAGCTACTTGCCAATAATCATAAAAAAATATTAACGTTAAAGAAAATCCATAATAAAAATTTTTTTTTTTTCAAACAAACTAATTAAGTAAAAAAGAAACAAAATTTGTACCATCCTATACAACTCGCGACACAGCGTCGTATTACAAGCGTCTCCTTCTAACAGTATGTTTTGTCTCTTTTAAATTCATTCAACCCATTCATATGCTTTGTGACCTTTACAAATGAACTTTACGTTACGCTTTTATAGGTAAGGTGTTCTAAAATTCTTTGTTTTGGAAAATTTATTAACTCTGTAAATATTGATGTTTAAAGAATTTAAATGTTTAATACAGCTTTAAAAAGTTATCCCCTATATGTGTGTTTATTTATTGTCGCGATGGTAACGACGCTGTATATACAAGAATTGCTCGTTTAAAGGATAAGATTCATATGAATTGTATTAAGAAATTTCTTGTTTAAATTAATGAATAAATTTATGCTTTCACAAGTTTCGCCAAACTAGTTTTTCAAATTAAAATTTTAAATACTAAGTTTTATATGTACCAAACACTTAAAGTATACAAAATTAGCTATATTTTCTGTTCGTACAATCGCCGTTTCAAATAACGGAACTCGAAAAATGCTTATGATAAAATTGGTTTAGACGAAACTGAATTATGATATAAAGGACGTATAATACTAACACAAGGTTAATAAAAAATGAATTAGACTCTTACCGTGAATCAGATGATCTGTTTTTAGGCAATTATTTTATTAGTATTCCCTAAGGCCATATTATACTCTACGACAACAAATGTTATAATAGTGTCCCTAATAAGACGCCTTATGACATCACAGTTTAAATATGGTCTGGTCTGGATGGTCTGCTTTGGTTATAAATAACTGTAGAAATTTTGATGGCTATGATGTATCTAAGTATAGAAAACGACCGGCGGAAGCGCTGTATTTAAACGTGAGGCCATGACCGTGATATTGGTGTCCCTACCCGCTATATTTCGTTGAACACGAAATAAGAAAACTGGAAGAGCCACAATTGGTAATGGCAACCGTCACTTCAGGAATCATTTGCTACTTGGTTTCGGCAATTTTAGAACACTTCACGAGTTCCCGAAATCTGTTAGCTCTAATTATTTTATCTATGAGCGAGTTTATTTCACAATTCTATCGCTCATCACCCTGTATATATTAAGCGTTGCAACCAGATCGGCGGGTCTCATGAGCATCAGAATTAGTAAATAAACGCGATGTGCTCTCAAATAACCAACTGCACAAGAGACTCAATTAATTGCTCCAAAGCCCTCGTGTACCACGTATCGTATCGTCCTCCTATCCACGTGTCATCGTATAATGCTATCAAAACACAAGTAGTATGGTTTCCACTCGTACTCTTGTTGTTATATCTGACATAGATAATTTTTGTAAATAATGATGTTTCTATTCTAACTATTCTAACAGTTTATACTTCATTGATCTTGAGTACTAAGTTTTTTTATAAGGAATTATCTTGTGTTTGACTGCCATAGCAGATGTCGTCTTTATCCTTTCTTGATGTATGCATAAAGACGTAAACTGTACAAAGGTGGAAACACCAGCCCAGTAAAAGTCTATTCGCTGTTGCCTTCAAGACACCCACGATATATTCCGAAGTAGAGACAGACGCCAGCATTCTTTACTTTCAAATAAACAAATATTTTGTAATTGTATAATTGACAAATTCACTGATGTTCGAATCTCAATCAATGAATATCATTGTAATAGAATCAAATGGAATTGGATACTGGTTACTCGAGTCGATCCCAATCACTCTTACTTACAGCTAACAAGCTGGACGAAACAAAATAAAACATCAATCTTGTCATCATTATCTACTGCGTGTGTGCGTTGTGCACCTTATGTATCAGAAGTTTTTTTTTTTTAATGTGATATACGGAGCATAGTTCGAACTACTCTAAACGAATGCTACACCAACATCCACTGTCAAGTCCATTCCCGTTGTCTTAGTGAAATATTGATACTTTTTGAATATAATATAATATTCCATACATAATGGCAGACAAAGTAAGCCTTCATGCAACTGCCACGCCTAATCTTCTATCAACAAGTAGGTGAAAACGTTAGCCATGTGTAAATATCTCGTATTTTATTACTTAAATAAACGCTTGATTGTAATCAGATATCTGGTTGTGATTACTTAAGACTCTGATGTTTATTTATACCAGTAGTAACAAGATTGTATGGAGTTAAGCGTCTAAAATTATATAATCTTATGTCAATTTGGGTAAACCCTGTTTTATTTTTATCATTAAGAAGATCATTCTGGTCAATTCAGAGACCAACCATCCTTAAACCATCCTTTTGGCATCTCAAATAACACTTGAAAAGCCATTTGACTGATTAGTTAATTTCCACGATCTGTGTTTCAGAAACCGGGCGTAAGTGCGACATTTAATACTCCCCCGTCTGCGAAATTTTCCTAAAAAGGGGTATAAAGTTTTTCTTCCTATTAATACCTCAAGTATTAATATATAGATAATATTATAGAAAATATAGTTGAGGCCCCAAAGTTTGCAAGAGACATCCGTTGTTCATAGCCTATTCGTAATGGAGATTTCCAAGCGTACCTGTTGGTTACTTTCTGCACCCAGTTCCCATTTGTTTCTGGGTGACGAGCAAGTACTCTGCTCTCAAACCTAAATTCTTTATTTTATTTTATTAGGAAAACTTATAACTATTAAGTACTTATTTTAAAAGAATATTATAACATACTAGCTGCCCCGACAAACGTTGTTTTGCCATACAAATTATTTGTAGGGTAGAAAATAATGTTTGGGGTGGACCACCCTTAACATTTAGGGGGAAGAAAAATAGATATTGTCCGATTCTCCACCCTGGCCGATATGCACACAAAATTTCACGAGAAACGTCCGAGCCGTTTCGGAGGAATTCAATTACAAACACCGTGACACGAGAATTTTCCAGTTCCAACCCAGCTAGTATCTCTAAAAATCTGTTCATTGTTCAGTTGTACATTACAATAAACCATTTTATCTGTCCTGTACACGCGAATAAAAATTGCATTGGTGATAAAAATAGTTTTATCAGGTGAGCACTTAGTTCAATTTTACATCGCGCTCATATTTGAATTCACGGAGTATAAAATTGTTTTTTTCACAATGGATGCATCAATTGGTTCAAAAAAGTAAGCGGGCAGTAAACTGCGTTGTTTTGCAAAACAACACTTTAAAAAAAATTTAAAACCCAAGTTATTTACGACTACGGCGAAAATATCATCTGATAGATATACGTTTCTGAAACACTGATCATCGCAGATGTTAACTGATCTGCTGTCAAATGACTTTTTAAATGTTATTTAAGTTGCCAAAAGGCTCATAAAAACATTGCAGTTGGAGAGGACAAGTTCCAGGTAGTTAATTTTGGTACATCAATATATTATTATAAATGAAATTTGTAAATGACTGTAAATGACTACTTTTCTAGACTCTAGAACTTTCTCTAGAAGGGCTAACTGAAGGACTAACCTGTTCTTCTACTGTTTTAAGGCAATAGATCACTTCGCGATACAAATGACCCATGACCCATTGTCCTTTTTGACCCAATTCCAGTTGACCCTACTTTACAACTATTCTAGTGTTACCATCCTTACAGGGTCTACTGTAGTGGACAATCACCCATGACCAAGTGACCTTTTTGATTCCTTGACACTACTCTACTATTCTATAGGCTTGCTGGACCCTGAACGCTGTACCGAAGTGGTATAGCGGGCTAAACGCAGCGATGTTTACGAAAACCGCGAAAAACAAATGTAGCAGCATAATGAGCCGACCATTGTTTAATCTACAAACACGTTACGTAAAACTGGCGAAAATATACGAACGCCCTGAGCCGTCGGGCAATTGTTGCGCCAGCACGGGATCCCGTCATTTCTAACACATGTTTCATATGATGGGATGACGATAGTCGAAATGGAATGCGCGCGTAAATTGGTCACGAATCTCCTTTTGTTTCTCGTCTTTAACCAATCAATACTTCGCGGTGAAACTGGTGAGTGAATTAAGTTCGTTGAAACCAATTTTTAATATTATGTTAAAAATTACCAATAAAGCCTGATTGCTGCTTAGTGTTTATGCAAATTGTAAATCACGATGTGAATGACCGTGAGAAATTCTTCTCAGCTTTCTTCGCAGCAAAATAAAGAATGTTAATGTCAAAATCTTTAAAATTTTAAGATCAAATTACAATTTGATTGGTTAACGGACCATGTACTATAAAGGATTGATTTCAAATTGTATGAGATTTTTTAAATTGAAAATTCCATTTGTGTATTTTGTAAATTATCAGGTGGCAACGTATCTGCAACCCACCTGGTGTTGTAAGTGTCCATGGGTTATCACTTAACGTCAAATAATCGCCAGCTCCTTTGCCATCTTCTGACATAAAAAAACAAATTACCCTCCCCAGCGACAACGGTCAAATCGGACTTGGAATGCGAGTTCCCGCCAAAACGGGAGGAGGATTTCACGCACCTAAGAAGAAAAAGACTGACGACAGAGACCGGGCTTGTTTGCTTGGAGGACTACCCGTATACTGTATCTATAAGGTCAATATTTTTTTTAAACGTTGCCCTTACTTTGGGATAACATTATCCTGTGCTGTAAGGACGCTTTACAAACATAAATTTAACGTGGACAAACACCCAGATACGAAACAACTATATGTGGGTCACACAAATAGTAGTCCCGTGTGGGGATCGAACCCACGACCCCCAACGCCGAATCAATTCTTCGGCAACTGCGCCACTTTAAATAGATCAATATTATTAAAAGATCAATAATGAATCTAATAAACGTTGTTCTTGTTGCTGAACTATTACTATATTGTACGTGTATAATACCACTTATTGTCAATATTGAAGGCATTCTAATCAATAGGAAAGAAAATCTTAACAGTAATCCCTTATAGTACTAGATGTGGTTTGTAACAGTTTAAACCTTAATTGCGACGACAGACATAACTTATCTTAGTTCAAACGTTAATTTAGACGACGTGGCCGTGCAAGTCGATCGTATTCGCCGAACTCAAACGTGAAACTTTTAAGACACGATAGCTTGTAATATGCTGTACTTAGTTGTAATTAAGTATATACCTGTATTTCCCAGACTGCACGGCAAGCATTGGTGCGGTGGCGCTATTGTGGGGAAGCTTTGGGTGCTTACAGCGGCCCAGTGTTTCGATTAGTAAGTGTAAACACACTGTGTATACGTAAGTGTTTACTTAACGGTTGAATGATGTAGTTACATCATTTGCTCGAACAGATCTCTCTGTTAGAGAGCCTTGTTTCCTCAGAGAGCATTAGTCCTCATAGAATAAGTAAGGTAGATATTACCGTCGAATATATTCATTCCACAACAAGCAGTTGATACGACGAGTCACGATAGCTCAGTGTCCGTCCGATCGCTTTAAATTCTTTCAACGGGAGCAACCCGAGTTCAAATCTCGGTATCAACACCGAGAAATTATTAATTTTATGTGCCGACTTATCACGTGCTCAGGAGTAAAGGAAAACATCGTGAGAAAACATGCATATTGTCGTAATAACAAAAAAGATATGTAAAAGCAATATTTTGATGTTAGTTGTAGTTAATGCTAATATTTTTTTAATTACGCATTTAAAATATACTACATCAGTAAAAAAAATTTCACACTGTGTGTATGTATGATCGAATTTCAACCACTGAGCGACCACTAGTTTATTATTAACAAGCAAACTTGTACCTTACGTATTTAAGTAGGATTGTATGAAACGAGAATCTTAAAAAGAAATTCCGATACTCTTTCGAGTTCCTTTTTCTTGTAGCCACTGTTGAATACTCGCGTTAGACGATTTCCCGCGTATTATTTAAAGACGAAACATATTTTAATCTGTGCGCAACATTACAGTGTATCTAAGGAAGAGGTCACGGTGCGAATGGGTTCCGTGTTTCGGGACTTTGGCGGGCGAATTTTGGCGGTGACTGAGATACAGAGGCATCCGGAATACAAAATGGACCAGTACTATCCCGAGCACAATTTGGCCATGGTCAAGGTAATTTGCGGACGTAGAAAAAATACTAAATACCGTCGATTCCTCCTTGGTGGGTGGCAGTAGATGAGATAAACTAGGTAAAATCGAGTAACTGTTAGGCCTGCTTTTGTTACTATGTTATCATCATCATCATTTCACCCTGTTTGAGCCTGCTGAACATAAGCCACAGACGGCCACGAAGCACGATCCTGAGCCACTTGTATCCACTGCACTGCCCAGTACTTGAACATAACAGTGACAAATGCTTGTTACAAAGTAACAGCCTTTTATTTCATACTAAGTATGTTGTGACAAACAGTGTACCTGTTACCATAGAGTAACTTATATAAAGTGGCAACTCATCTGCTACCCTACGGGTATCACTTAACATCGGGTGAACCGCAAGATCGCATGCCACCTTCTTAAAAAATAATCTTGCTTGTTAGTGCTTAATATACAGGGAGGCTTTTCTAAGTGTATCCATTTTTTTTATTAAATTCTAAACATAAATAATGTTATATAAAAATGATAAATATTTAAAAAATCACTCTTAATTAATTAAATACATTCATTTGAATTTATCTCAAAAAGTGCGTGATTTATGGGCAACTCATTTATTTTACGCGCGATAATTCTTAACTAACACGCACACAAGTTCGTTTCAAAAGTATACGACGCATTTATAAATGACTACCGCATTGTCAACAAGTTCTGTTTTTTAGGGAATGAAATGGCAAGCTTTTTGAAAAAAAAGTTTGTTTTTATTTTAATAAACGATTATACTACCGATTCTGAACTTCCTGTGTGAATTTGGCACTTTTAGAAAAGCCACCCTGTATAGTGAGTGAAAATAGGACATATCCATCCAGGTGAACGTGCCCATAGAGTACAACAATAGAATACAGTCAGTGGCCATCGCCGCCGCAGATTCGCCGCTGCCGTCCCTTTACGGCGAGACTATCGTCACCGGTTACGGATCAGTTGTAAGTACGCCAAATTAACAACCCGACACTAACGCGAACGTAAACAAACGTCGCCCGCGCAACGTCCTCATCGGCCCGGTCGAGGAAGGGGACTTAAATACGACGGAACCACTGTCGGGGGTTCCGCCAAATAACACTACACACTCGTAAGTGCATCAACAAACACCATAGTTCGTCCTAGCCTTCAAGCACGGCGAAACCAACGCAACGAGTACACCAGGTACACCCGCGATCCAGCGCGGTTTACACCGCCCCCAGCCACCGACTAACCAAGCACAGTCAACGGCAATCGGGGTCCGCACCGAACCTCTATGGCCCGTAGGCGACACGCCATAATTAACGCACGCATGAGTACATGTGGGGCCCTAACCACTGAGGAGGGCCTCAAAACCATGAGTTCTGGCTAGCCCATCGGTTCTGCATTCCACGAAACTTTAATAGTCTAAGGACTGAAAGCATAACATCAATTACCGTATACAAAAAAAAAATTCTGAGTGTAAACTTTTATCTTTTTTTGATTCTGAACCAATTGAAGGCGATATGATACATAGCTGTAGAAGTTTCGCACATTCAAAGGCGGGAAACTGTGCACAACAACGAAGATCTACTGAATCGTATTTTAGTAGATATGTTGTTGTAAAAGTTGAACTTACAAAATAACCCGCAGGCTACTATGGCCCTTGTTGTAGAGCTGTTTTTAAAACAATATGCAAGGAGTGTTCTATTTGTTTTTTTTTGTAGTTTGTTCATTTGTGAGAGATCAGCAAAGATCATGGGAATAGTTATCCAAGGTGAAAACCGAACCCAGAACCGATGACGCTAAAGTACATTGCTGAGCAACTGTACCGACAGTGACCGTGTTCGTAACTTCAAGTATTTGCGTGAACCAAAGGTTTTGTTCAACATAATTATGTACGTTTAATCTAAACGAGGGTAGACGTCAGGCAGATTGTAAACAGGTAACCGATACCACTAACATGATTGAATTCAGGCAGGTCGTAAAACCGGTAGCCGATACCTCTTACGGCATGATTCATATCAGCCGACCCCATCAGGGTTTGGGATAGGGGGATGATGACGTGTTATCTTATAGGTGACTGGCCAGATCAGGGAGGGTGAAAACCAGGAGCTGAGGCGCATGATAGTTCAGGAGGTGCGGCGTCCAGAGTGCCGTCTGGTGTACGGGAATGACTACCATCTTCAGTACGACCACATGTGCCTCAAGAGCGTGATGAAAGGCGTTGCCCTATGCGCCGTTAGTGCCAAGGACTACATGTTTTATTATGATTGAGACAGACAGCTTTTTTATAGAACCTTTTGTCAAGCGAGCAGGCGGTTCACCCAATGTAAATTGATAACCGCCGCCCATAGACATATGCAACACCCGCAGTGATGCAAAACGTTGCTATTAATTAAGTTGGCCGAAGTGTATCACTTCCACTTTACTCCGGTCTGCTGCGAGGCCGTGGGAGCTACCCATTCGTGCAACAGTGAAGACTGTTTGCGCCCACAGAAACGGTAAAAGTTACCTTTGGGAACAACATACCATATAAGTCTTATGTGATGAATAATGATAGTCAAGTTATCATTTTACTGGCTGTTAACCGTGGCTTCACCCGCGCGGCCAAAGGGAATTAACAATGAGTAACAAACATCCTTCCATACATACAAACTTTCGCGTTTATAACATTAATAAGGATTACCTGGAAATTAACCGATAACTGGATTGCACTGTGCTTTTATTGTTGACATTTAAATGAAAAAGTATTGCCATATCCTATCCAGGGGGACACCGGCGACCCGGCGGTGCATTTTAGCGGCATGAATCGAGCTGGCACTCTGTACGGGATCGCACTATTCTCCGGAACGGAAGAATGCGCTTACAAATCAAAGCCAGGAATATTTGCTAAGGTATTTTATTAACGTCTATCTACAGAGTTACATGATTTTGATAAATAGCATACCAAGATTAATATAAACTCAGGTAAAGAACAATATGCAATTTCAATTACAGATGGATATTGCATACACAGATTCTTAACAGTATCATAAAACAATACAACAAAAACCAAAGATAAATCTAAGAACGATTACTACTTTAACATTACAGTACTACTTAATATAAATATTAAAACCACTATTATAAACGTGACTCAACATAGATATTATGTACAATATAAGACTGAATGTTAGACGTCTACGACGGTAATTGGGTTCAATACGGTAAATTATCAGTATATATGATGATTTGTCGTGAAAAATATCATATCATATCGTAGAGAAGGCAAAACATGTCACTTATAGATGCACTGGTGACAAATTTGGCAATAATTCATCCAGTTCCAAAGATCATAGCCATTAAATACAAAAAAGCAAGTAATATCTTATTGAACCATTGGTATAGAAGAGTGGATGAGAATTTAGAATTACTAATGTTAGTGACAATATGTTTCTTTTTTCAGGTATCCTTCAGTAAAAAGTGGCTTGAAAAGGTTTTGATGGGCAATACGGAAGCACTTGAAAGCGCTGACAGCGGGGAAAATGAAATACCAGTTGATATTGTAAATACTGACAATTAAATTATAATTTACAGAAAATATGATTTTTGTTACAACCTTATATAATATGAAACTTAAAAGCTAGAACATTAACTTTTTGAAACAATGCGGCTTTAATGTTGTGTTATTTTAGGCATTCAAATAATAGCGGAACCGACTTTGTCCTATACACACGACTAAAGTTCGACAACAACTTACAAATAAAAAAATTTTAACACTAATTTTTTTTTTTTAAACTTTATTTATTTTAATTTTTTCGCACATATTTCCACTGCGTCCTTTATTCCCAAACTAAGCAACGCTTGTACTATGGGTACTAGATAACTGATAAACATACATAAAAATACTTACATTCGTAAAAATACTTATTTAGTACGTTAGGTATCCTTTTTTATATCATTTGACATGTGTGAAAAAGTTATGATGTGTGAAGTCGATGGATGCAGGTGGCTCAGGATCGTACTTCATGGCAGTCTGTGAACCTATGTTCAGCAGTGGACTCAAACAAGCTGAAATGATGATGATGATGATGAAAGCCCTTATTTGGGATGCTACTTGTGTAGACACTTTGGCTGCCTCTCATCTCAATCTCAACTTCGGTCAGGGCCGGGGCGGCATCGGAAGCAGCTGAAATAAGTTAATGGCGCAAATATGGGTCTCTATGTTAAGATTATGTATTTGGGCCATTTACTGTTGAAACTTTGGGTCCGTGGGGTCCACAGCATATCAAATTTTAAAGGTTTATGTCCTAGGCTTAATGCCGCGGCTGGTGACAAGAGAGCTGGTTCTTTTCTCGCTCAAAAGTTAAGCATTGGCACCATGCCACGTGGATTTTTTTTTCTTGTAAATATTACAGAAATAAAGTTTAGTCCGGTTTATTTCATGGTCTGTGCCGTCGGCTTGACCTATGAGATTAAAACCTTCAATTTTAACCTAGGCAAGATATGAAATATATTATTTTTATCGCTTTGAGGGAAACATGTTTACTATTTTTTATATTGTAGCACATATATATGAAATATTAAAATATAATAGATAGGAAAAAACAAGATTTTCGGACATAACTTTCAAGTAGCTGGCTGCTGTCAATGTCATTAAAACAAAAAATAATAGGAGGTTATGTTTGCTTAATTTATGTAGTTTCGATCCATACTAACATAACATTTCGTATTAAAATGATAAACTAACAAGGTCAAACATATTTAAAAATAATTAAACTGCGTATTTGTTATGTCAGCGGCGTATGATAGTGTGTACACGCAATTGCAATTATGGTCTATTTTGAGAGTGAAAATTTGGCTGGGCTCTGTCCAAAGGTTAAGGCTTTGGGCATGAAACAATAGACCATTTGGGAGAGGACGTTCCCGCCTAACGTCGTTGCGACATGGACGAATTTAAGCTAAGGGCGGGGGAGAAATTAGAAGCCTTACAGGTATGGAAATAACTCGACTGCGATTTTCCTTATTCGTACTCTGATAATTTTAAAATCTATAAGAAATTGTGACTGAAATAATATAATAAACTTAAGCATTTTAATAAAGACAAGCAAAAGTAACTTTGGGTTAAATCTATTGTTTGTTTTGTTGACACTTCAGTAACATTGACCTCATTAATGTAAGACATGACCATGAAAATTACATAACTAAACTGCACAAGTTTTAACAATCATGTATGCACTTAATTTTTATTAATTAAAATAAGTTTTTGTTGGTTAACACATACCTCTCTTTAACAACTTGTCACATGAAAAAAAAACATTATATTTCCTTTCGAATTTTCAAAATGAATTTTAAATCTTGAGTCAAATTTTATAGTAATTATTAAACTGACAAACAGGCTGTAATATTCTTAGATTCTAATGGGTTAATAGTGCTAATAATGAAAACCATATTTTATGAAACTCAATTAGTAAAAAACAGATGGTTATAAAACTACCATGCTGTATATTAGGTACAATTAAAGTGAGACAGTCATTTCTATAGATATCTCTCAACTGAAAAACTAGTGTATTCAACTTTCTCTTCATCCCTGATATGTAAATGAGTAATAGAGCAAAAGTCACTGATAGTTAAACTATGTTATGTAAATAGTTTTTCTGTAGTAGTAGTTACCTAATTTCCTCAATTATTAAAAACTCTCTGAAGTATTGTAAAAACCCGATGCTTATTGTTTTATTATGTTTTTCATAATTAATTGCAACACTTGTTACACAAATAAAAGCACAAGAAAACACACCTTATGAGAATTTTGTTAATGTCTGTGGTATTTATTAATTTTTTACCAAAGCATTTGTTTTATGTTAAGTAAATTTTTTTTTGCAATCATGATGTAAAATAAACACATTTCTGAAGGCTGAAGGCATAAATGCTACAATTGAATTTAAAATTATAGTAGTTGTTCATTGCTCAAAATTTGACCGTAATTTTAAACTTAATGAATTATTTTTTATATATTACCCTCACACTCCTTCAGACAATTTGACATTTAAAAATTCTTAGGTGACAGGCTTTGACATTGACAGTATGAATGTAAACAAAGAAACTTTAATTTTATTCTATGCATTTGTAAAACTTATTGTATCTCTTACTCTCTGAACTTCTCCATATAAACTTTAACTGTATGAATCTTCACATTCATGCATGCCATGATTATAAAAAACAATACAAAGTGTTTGCTTTACATATTAATATGAAAATATAGTTATCAACTATTGAATAGAATATATACATTTAAATTTGGTAAAGGTAAATAACTTTAACTCCGGCGTAATTCAAATCAAATAAATTTTAAACGATAGAGATAAATCTCTAATGAATTAATCAACAAGCAGAATTCGGCGGTCGCTTATAGTTTTCGAGAAAAAAAAATATTTAAAACTTGTTTTTTGTACTAAGAAATCCACCATTTTATTCGTTTGACTTCAAAAGTTCTTTACACAGTTCTGCCAACATGATAAATATAGGAAGCGGGCGCCATCATACACGTATCGATATTCCGATTTTTTAAATTTAATGAGTCACAGAACCGACACAGAGCGAATCCGACTCGGATAGATTAGGTTAGAAGGTTCAGGCGGGAGCGTAGCTCCCGCCTTAACCTTCGATGTTAGGTTTTTTTTTTATGACCACCAAGAAATACGAGCTGAATTGACATATTGACAACAAAAAATGGCGGATTTCTATAGTAAAAATCACACTATTTCATTATTTATTTTTTCGAAAACTATAAGCGACCGCCAAATTCTGCTTGTTGATAAATTCATAAGTGAGTTTTCTCTATCGTTTAAAATTTATTTGATTTGAATTACGCCGGAGTTAAAGTAAATAACTTTTACCTTAAATTTAATTGAATGCATTCTAATTCGTAAATATGTTAAACTTGTTTATGTGAAGGACTCCTAAAACAATTATTGCCTGCAATGAAACCTTTAGATCATCATCTTTTGGACTTCCAAGAGTACTTAAGAAATTCTTCAGGATATACAAAGGTTGAATGTCTTTTCAGTCGGCAGCTAAAGCTGCGGCAGATGGTAGCAAAACAAAAGTACAAGATGTAGCGTCGCAAACCACCGAACTCATCAGAAAGGTTAATAAAACTTTAATTATACTCTAACATGGAGAAATGGGATGTGGATATGGATGACTTATATATAATTATATTCAGGTATTTAAACCAGAAGTTGACATGTTAAAACCTGTAAAATATTTTTAATTTAATGTCATAATTGGTGCCAAATAGGTGAAATTATAACAACAAATCACATTATTTTAATACTTAATTCGCATTATAATATAATTTCTTAATTCACTTGCATACACACAATTTCAAATAACTTTTGTAATTGAAATTTGTACAATGGACTTGAAGATATTCGCCACTGCGGGAATCGTACCCGGACATTGGATCTCATTGAATCTGGTGTAAAAAAGAGTCAGTGGTGTTCCAACACTCTCCAGATCCGCGAGGCGTTCCAAGAGTTATGGCAGAACGACCTGATAGTCGAGGGCCGGGAGCGAGTTGCCGCCTGGTCGAGGGATGCCGTCCAACGCATCAGGGATGGCACCCCACCATTATCACCAGTGCTGCTCTATGAGGAGCTGGTGGCGCTCTTCAAAGACAGAAGTACGTATCAGACAGAAGACTGCGCATCGACATGGGCAGTGTAGTTTGACAGAACACGAGCTCTATTCGAACTGAACGGCTGATGACTGGCCGCCGGGCCTATTTTTTTTTTAAATGTGAAAAGTTGTCAAGCCAACAGGCGGTTCACCTGATGTTAAGTGAACACCGCCGCCCATGGACATCGAGGAACACCGAGGGTTGTAGATGCGTCGGACAACCTTTTGAGAATTGGGCTCCGGCCACCTCACTCACCAGACGAAACTTAACTTTACGCCGGTCTTCTGTGGTCGTGGTACCTACCCGGACGAGCCTGCCCATTCGTGCAACAGCCGAGGCTGCTGCGTGGGGCCCTACCACAAGACACCTCACTGTTGATTAGAGAGGTTAAGTCGGAACTTTCACTACCTTACTAGGCAGAGAGGTTTATTTGATTCCCAGTCGATAGGAAACTTTTGCGATTAAGAAAAAATATGCCTTATTTTAGTGTACTTTCGTCGCTGTATTATGTAAAATCGTCTCTGTGATAGAAATAATCGAATATTACCATTATAATATGTATCGCATTTAAAAATAAACGTGCTCAGCGGTGAAGGAAATCATCGTGAGAAACCGGCATTTTTTCGAAATAATAACAAAAAATATATTTCGAAAATATGTGAAATCCACCAATCCGCTGTGGGGCCAGGTGGTGGACTATACTCTGTTACCTATGTACAGAGGATGCCTTTGTTGATTGGGACATTTATAGGCTGTTACTTTAATCTTACTGTCAACCGAGCCGACTACGCGTCGAAGCTTAGTCGTATCGGACGTATCGGATCTTCGCAGTGTGGCGGCGCAGCGTGGCGCTGTTCTTAGCGGGGGCGGCGCTGGGCGGCGGCGCGGGGCTGCTGCTGGGGCTGCGCGCCGCCGCCAGGCCGCCCGCAGGCCCGCACGCGCGCGCCCTCCTCGCGCAGCCCGACAGGGCGGTGCTGCTCGTCGACGACGCCGTCACGCCAGGTGACGCCGCTCACCTACTCACCGGCAAACTGCTCACTAACTGACCTACAAACTGCTCACTAACTCACTCACCGACAGACTGCTCACCCACTCACTTCTCACTGAGACATTCCCCTAGTTTTTCTTAGTTTCTCTTACTATTTTAAACATTGCTCTTACCTCTGGATAAGATTATCCCGTGTAGTAAGAACGTTTTACAAACATAAATTTCACGTATACACACCCAGATGCGAAACAATTATTCGTGGGTCGCACAAATAGTTGTCCCGTGTGGGAATCGAACCCACGACCATCCGTTGCAGAAGCTAATATCTGGCAACTCGGCCACTGAGTTTTCAAACATCGCTCACGAACTCATAAAAGAGGCCAAGCAATTTTCGATATACATAACTATGTGCTTCTCATTGCCCACAGATATTCTGCTCACTCTGCCCAACCGAAGGTCTCATTGATCAATTATTCATATAATACGGTTAATTGATTCATACTTAAATCATCCTTTATGTAACAGCTGTAAGTTTTTAAAGTGTGCCGATTGGCGTAGCGATGTCGGTATAATAACAGCGACCTAAACATTGAAAGAGAATTTGTCGCCTAGGGGCGGGGCCGGGCGAGGTGCTTGTGCGTGTGCAGGCGTTCAGCGTTTGCGCGCGCGACCGCGCCGTCCTAAGGGGCAGGCGCGGCCGCGCTGCGCTCGCTGGCCGCCCGCTCGCCCATCAGCGTCGGCCGCGGATTCGCCGGTATTATCTTGTATCTTGTATTAACCCGCCGGTGTATCTTGTATCTTGTATTAACTGAGGTTTTTGCTTTCATACCCGAGACTATTAAAGCTTCATCTGACGCAGAACCTGGGCTAGCCAGAACCCGCGGGTTCGGGCCCTCCGCTGTGGGTAGGGCCGCGCAAGTGCTCTTGCGTGTTGCATTCTACAACACGCAGCGCTCCACGCTGTTACGATGTACTGCAGCTGGACAAAAGGCCCCGCTTAATCGAGCCCCGAGCCTGGTCCACATTAATCGGGCGTGTGATCTCGACCGGCAATGGCCGGTCGGTGGTGAGAATGGCCGACGGCCATCCCTCTGACTCGGTAGCTTTACTATTGGATGTACATCCACGCTGTGGCACGGATGGGCGAGTCCGTCTGGGGCACCACGAACTCGCAGAAGGCTGGCGTGTAGTGGAAGTGTTACAATTCTGCGTTTCGACTTGGGGGCAAGGTAGCCGGGGCCCAGTGTATTAAATGTCAATGGGTGGCGGTTGTCACTTAACTTCATGTGAACCGCAAACTCGCTTGGCATTTTTTAAGCAGATTTCCTTAGGTATTTAATTCAAAGCGAATACAGCAAATACTTAGGTATTTCAAATAGCTCAAAACACACGTTTTTTACGCGTTTAACGGTCGAGAGACTTTACAGAATGCCTGCATCGTATTTATATTGAGCTCTCTGACAACTGCTGCAATAATACATACATCACAGTCCAGTTTAGTGAAAGTGGCAGAAAGCCAACTTATTACTTCAATTTCCCAACGACCACTGCGACCTAGAAGATCTATTGTAGTCTTGCCTTCGAGAACAATCACCCATTAATTTAGGATATCGTCATCCTGTGTTGTAAGGACGTTTTACATAACATAAATTTCACGTGGACCAACACCCAGATCCGAAACAATTATCTGTGGATCACACAAAAAGTTGTCCCATGTGAGGATCGAACCCACGACCCGCGGTGCCGAAGCCAATACCTTGGCAACTTCGCCAGGGAGCCATAATTGTGCTGGCTTCGGCACCCGATAATTCCTTAAGAGTTTCTGTTCCTGATTTGTCAATCCAGGAGTGGTGCTGGACGCTGGCGCCGGTGTGCCCTTGGAGCTGGGCGACGAGGTGTGGGGCTGCCTCAGCGAGTGGAGCGGCGGCACTGCCTCGGAGCTGCTTACCGTCAGGAGGTGGCCCCCTCACCAACTCATATACTACGGCAGCGGCCCCTCATCAACTTCCGGAGAAAACGAATTTTTCGTGCTAGCTAAATGTTTAATTCCAAGATCGTACAAATGAATGAAATTCATGATTTTCCGTTAATGGCGTTGTATAAGCTTGAGTGTTTCGATTCTTGAACATTATTAAACCAATCTCTCACTACTGTCCAACACTCTATTTTAACGAGTCATCGCAACTTGTCCTAATAGTTTTTGGAAGTTCTTAAGAAATGAAATAAAAATAATCATTTGCGTCACAACACGTGGTCTACGCGTCCCAACACTCATTACAATATCATTTATCTTAGGGTCATAGATCTCTATGAGTCAATGATATTGGATACTGTAATCATTATCACCATCATCATTACACACTGTTTGAGTCCACAGCTGAACGTAGGCCTCCCCCACAGTCCGAATTACGATCCTGAGCCACCTGTATTCATCGATTTTCTATGTCTATATTACATCCGGATAGTGTAATATAGACATATAACTCATTTTGTCCGTGGTCAAAAGTTATTGATATTGGTTTTATGATAGGACTAAATGCTTTGATAGAAACGGTGTCACCTGTTATTTTTTCTGTTATTCCGTATTTAAATAAAATTAAAAAAAAATATTTCTCTTTCTATTTATATACATGCACAAAATTGCTAAAAGAAAAAACCAAAGAGATTGTTACTTTTTGATTCGAATTACGTTTAACGTGGAAGTCAACAATTACGACTGTCACATATCAAACACACCCTGACGAAGCAACAGCGGCGTTCGCTACCAATGTGTTCTCAACCATCTAAGACTTGAAATAGAATCGGTTAACGTTAGATGTCTAACATAATGTAATACACCATATATTGTATCGGTGTGTATGATACATGATCGAACCGCGAAAAACTTCGTACATTAGCTAAATAAAATATTCAAATGATAGTGTAACACGCCCCATAGGCGCAATCGCTTATCACAATTGCGCAGCTCCCGGGTGAGCCGTCGGCCGCGCGGGCTGGCAGCGGACGCGGCGGCCGCGCTGCCTTGGGCCGGCTCGCTGGCGCTGGCCGCGCTCGACCGCGCGCCCTACGCGGACGACGCCTGGAAGGGCAAGAGGTCTGTCCTACGGACATCGCGCGACCGTCCTACTGACATCTCGTGACTGTCCTACTGACATCGCGCTACTTTCCTATTAACATCTCGTGAATGTCTTACTGACATCTCGTGAATGTCCTACTGACATCTCGTGAATGTCCTACTGAGATCGAGCGACTGTCTTACTGGCATCTCTTGAATGTCCTACTGACATCTCGTGACGGACCTACTGACATCGCACGACTGTCCCACTGGCATCTCGTGACTGTTCCGCTAACATCTCGCGACAGTTCCACTGACATCTCGTGACTGTTCTACTGACACCGCGCGGCTATTCCCTTTTTCAATTTTTTAAGATGATGGAAACTGATGGTTTGCACATTTACCGCACCCCGAGACCGTCCTACTAATATCTGGTGACCATACTAGCAAACATCTCCCTACTATCCTATTAAGATATCACTATTATTATACCAACATACCACATCTATAACCACTTCGTCCATCTAACATCCCGCCTCTGTTCCTCCAAAAATAACTTATTCCTTACCCGAATTCCCAATCTCTGTACCATCATAAATTCTTCATAAACTATTTCGATTCTCACCTTAGTACCCAAACTTAGTGTAGAGTGTTGTACCCAAACTTAGTGTGAGGAAAAAGTAAATACAATCATAATATCTTCAGAGTGGCCATCATTGGTGCCACGTCCGGCGAGGGTCTGGCGCTTTTGCAACTGCTGAGCCGAAAAGGCGCTAAAACAACAACCGCTGCGCCCAAAGGGCACCAAAGCACCATGCACGAGTTCGGTAAGTGCGTGTTTGACCGTCCACGGGATAACTTAGATAATTAATTGTACCGACAATGATTTCGGTACGAATATGTTTTTTTTTTTATTTGGGATGGATTGCCCTTAATGTGCGATAAGTCCTTTGTAACAGTGTTATACAAACATAAAGTTCACGTTGGCAAATATCTAAATAACCCGTAAAACAGTCCATGGGTCACATAAATACCCTGTTAAATATGTACTTAAAATAGGTATAATTTACGTATGTACTGAGCGAAGGGTTGCGCAGGGGCGTCGCAGTTCATCGAGATGGGGGCGGGCGAGGGCGGTGGGTGGGGCGCGGTGGAGGCGGCGGCGCGGCTCCAGGGCCCCTGGGACGCGCTGCTCTGCTGCGAGGCGGCGGGCGTGCCCTGCTCGCCGCCCCCCTCCCTCGCCGCCTTGCTCAAGTACGTCCTCGCGGATACTAGCGGACGCTCACGGCACACTTGGCCACGACCACCCATGACCACGACTACTCTTAACTATAACCACGCATGACTACGACCATACATGACTACGACCACACATGACTACGACCACACATAACTACGACAACACATGACTACGACCACACATGACTACGACCACACATGACTACGACCACACATGACAACGACCATAAATGACTACGACCACACATGACTACGACCACACATGACTTCGACCACACATAACTACGACCACACATGACTACAACCATACATGACTACGACCACATATTACTACGACCACACATGACTACGACCACACATAACTACGACAACACATGACTACGACCACACATGACTACGACCACACATGACTACGACCACACATGACAACGACCATAAATGACTACGACCACACATGACTACGACCACACATGACTACGACCACACATGACTACGACCACACATGACTACGACCACACATGACTACGACCACATATTACTACGACCACACATGACTACGACCACACATGACTACGACCACACATGACTACGACCACACATGACTACGACCATGCATGACTACGACCAGGCACAAATTACTATGACCACACATGGCCACAAACACACTTGACCACGACCCCACAGCATGAGACCGCGAGTTCGCCTCGCCGCCTCTTCGTCACCATCATTTCAGCCAGTTTGAGTCCGCTGCTGAATATAAACCTCTATAAACTCTATCACGCAGGGAAATATCCCGCTTTACACAGAAACACCCTCAATTAAGTTACATCTTCTCCCCCTCTAACGATCCTCTGAGGACATCCCTCTTCTTTGGTCAAGAGTCTATTCTATGTTTGCATCTTCTGATCCTTTTTGCATCATCTGTCCACAGATCCACAGCCCCCAGGGGCGCCTTTTTGGACCTCCGGGGCGGAGCCCTAATGACCGACCGCCTGCCCACCCCGTTCTGGCTCCTCTTCTGCGCGTCATTCTACACGTACAGGACACTCAGGGTGCGTACCTCCGAAATTCGCTGTATCGAGACACAAAGCGCTAAGTTCAATGGTCATTTTGATAGAAGTTTTTGTAACGACTGGTTTTTCTATTTTAAACATTTTCCAAATGTTTTTTCCACATTTTCACCTGTGACTTTTTATAGGGAAATATCTCCCACATTCTCTATTTTATAAATAATTCCTTCACAAAAAGAATGTCGAATGTAGAGTTAATTTATCTATTTGAAATAACGAATATTCACACAATTCTGTTATTCAAGATATATTCTATATGATATATGTAATCTATATATACTACTTTAATAATGTTAATCCAATTATAACTGCATTAAAGTAATGTTGGATGTGGTGTCGGCTATAAATAAAATTTTCAATGGGGATTTAGTTTAATATTCATATGTAATTATAGTCGATATTATGCTTAAGTAGAAACTCTCCAACTCACTCACGAGGTCCATTCAACTATACGGCTTAACATTTCAATTGCGTACATATGTGGAGTACATATGTACGCAATTGAAATGTTAAGTCACACACAACCTTAACTGAAGTGTGGTAACTATCGTATTTAGAATCACACATGGTAGTTTCTTTGCGTCATATGAAGAGTCACATACGCTATCTCATTTAGCGTAGATTTAGACATGACATGCCAATCAGTATCGTGTGTAGAGTCGAAGATAGACACAAGGGGTCGATGCCAAATGTAGGGTTAGACACGGCATCCTATTCAGCGTCGTGTGTGGAGTCGAGTAGCCACGCAAGACACCTACAGTGTCGTGTGTAGAGTCGATTGGAGAGTTTTGCATGGCGTCTCGTGAAGTGTTGTATGTAGTTACGCAAGGCATCTCGTAGTGTTTTGTGTATAGTCGAGTGTACACAGCATCTTTTTGAGCTTCATGCGTAGTTACGACATTTCGAACTGCGTCGTATGTACAGTCAAGTGCACGTTCACACGGCGTCCCATATATGTCATATGTAGAGGAACACACGGAGGTAGAGTCGAGTGTAGTCACGCACAGCATCTCATTGTGACGTATGTAGAGTCGAGTATCGAGATTTCGATCGAATATTATACGTATTAAATGAAACAGGTTTACGACAGCGCGATAAAATCCGTATACTAGTTTCGTTTAATATCGAGTATAGAAAGTACACACGGCATCCCATTTAGGGTCGTATGTAGAGTCGAGTATAGTCACGCAGGGCATCTCATAGTGACGTATGTACAGCTGAGTGTAGGGTCCAGTAGAGGGGTTTTTGATTTTAGGAATTAATTTAAAAAAACGAATATTATACACATTAAACTATACTAGCTTACGACAGCGCGATAAAACTAAACTAGTTTCATTTAATATCTAGTGCAGAGGTACACATGTAAGTGGATACTTAGCGTCCGTGTGTAGAGGCGAGTATAGGCAAGCAGGGCATCTCATATCGTACATACGTCACTAAAACCTTTTTTTTTTTTTGCTTTTAGGCGAATATTATACACAAACTAAACAAGTTTACGACAGCGCGATAAAACTAAACTAGTTTAATTTAATATCGAGTGCAGAGGTACACACGTGAGCGGGGTACTTAGCGTCGTGTGTAGAGTCTAAGGTAGAGCGTGTGCTCAGTGGGCGGTGGGGCTGGGCGCGCACGCGGACTGGCTCGAGCGGCCGCAGCAGCTGACCGCCGGCCTCGAGCGGCTGGCCGGGCTCGTCGACAGCGGCCTCCTCATGCCCGCCCTGGACAAGGTGCCCACGCCTCCCCCTTGCCCCTCACTGTTCGCTGTTGCGACTATTTTCAACCGAATTCAAAACTCCTGTTTTTCTGGAGGTTCTCTATTGTACTGTATTTTTTTTGCAGTCTGTTATGTTTTTCGTTAATAAAAATGGACTTGTCATTCATCAAGTTAAACTCTGCTTCTCTTAAAATTTGTGGAGAAATGAAATGTTCTCCAACACCGTAGGAGTCGCCAACCCACGTCTGCCGGTATCACGCCCAGACGCGTTAAACACTAAGCTAAGCGGCCGTTGATCTGGCGGCGCGAAAATTTCGAAAATCTCGTCTGTCTGCGTTCTTTCTATTGTATTTTCATTGAAGCCTTGCACAAATAAAATTTCTTTCTTTCTTTCCTTCTTCACTTGCCGCCAACGCTCCAGGTGTATTTCCCGCAAGAGTTCGAGGCGGCGCTGGCGCACGCCTGCAGCGAGGACGCCCTCGGCACCACCGTGATTAGATTCCCGTAACTACACCTGCAGGGGGGGGGGGGTTTTTACACCAGGGGGGGGGGGGGGTATCTATAAATTACCTACCCCTCAATTACACAAAACCATCATGGAGTGGGGGGAGAAATTGTAGGCTTTATGGTCTATAAATTACACCTACCCTCAATTAGAAAACACTAAGATCTAGTGAGGGAGATGGAATAATTTATACTTGTTATTTCACTAAATTATCGAGCTCAAACTAACCTATACTAGAACTGTAATTAATCACATTTTGATATCCCTATACATTTACGCGATAGCAATTCACGTAACGAATTTTTGTAATGTAAAATATAAATAAAATATAAATATAATGGATTTGTGTACTGGTCACAAACTGTTTACAGATATCGTGTTAAATAAAGTTACCATTAGTTTAATGCAAAATCCTGTACATTTTAAACAGTTTTTTTTTATAAATGACTTTTTATGAAATATAAAAAAATCAAGTTCTAAATCAATCGATTCAAATAACTCCGTACAAAGTTTGCACGACAATAATTTTTCAGTCAAACAATGTACAATTTATTTTATTTAAATTTTAAATGGAAAAAATTATAATGAATTACCTTATTAAAATAAATATACGAACTATAAACTAATACAATTTCTATTTCGTTATTTCATGAATTGACGCACTACTATAATTTGTACTACTTGTTATATATCTATAAAGATTTGTATTGAATGACATCACATACCATAATACAATTTAACAATAATGTTCCATATTTTCTGCTGGCAAGTTTTAAAGAAAATTATTATAATTATATTAAGTTTTGTTTTTAGAACTTTTAAGTATTACGTTTTTATTTTACCATTTTTTTTTTTGTTAAATTTAACCCTGAACTGAAACATGTTCTAAAAAAATATTTTTAATGTATTTATAAACTTCGATCATTAGGCCAGTAATAATTACGAGAAGTCACAATTGCCAAATAGTTTTTGGACTATGAATTATGTTGTAAATATTCTTGTAATTAATCCATCCGTCTCTAATAATTGTGGATAACAAATTTTATAAGCCCCAAAGACTGTCACAACGCAACGTTACTAAGAAGATCTGTAAGTACATACATTATAACACGATAAGGCTACATAAATATGTAATTGTTTTAGGTTTCACCCACTTTTCAAATATCGACCATAATCTTGAAAAATGTTGAAAAAGGTTTTCTTTCAAACTTTTTTTTCTCCACGCTGAAACACTTTGATATAGGAAACAATACAGTGTCGTTATAAACGTTAGGGAAAACTTAGTTTTTTTTTAATGATAAATAAAGCTCTTTACCTAAAAAGTTAAAGTAGCTACTCTAAAAAAAACATATTTTGTGAAACAGAGGTTTTGTCTGTGACGATTTCTATACCGAACGGAATTCGCACAAAAATGGATAGAAAAAATTATAGATTAAAAAAATAACACAACTGTTTATTTAAATGTTTTTGCTAAAGTTTAAGAATGTACTTTTAAACATTTCGTCGGAATAACAAAACTTATGTGTACATACATATAGAAAGTCTTCCTTTACTCTCCTTTTCTCTTTCGAAAAGAACGCGAAGATGTTTTGAGCTCCGATTTGTTCTTATCAAGGTCGTTTTTTTTTTTTTCATTAATTTTCCTTTTTTTTACAAGTAGACAAACTAAACAATATTTTTTTGTTTTACACGAACGTTCCTATTTTGCTACGAACCTAACAGTCGGTCGAAATATATTTAAAAAAAGCTGATTGTAAATGAAATTTATACTATTGTAAATTGCAATCCTCCAAAGGTCTTATGCATAAATCCCATGGGTTAAGGTGCTAATTTATCTTTACCTGTACCTCAATACGTTGTAAATATAAAACTGATTGTATAAAACGAATGTAAGTAGATAGTGTTATTTTGAAATAAATGTTTTATATATCGTAATGAGTTTTTGTTTACTAACGTCATATTTCATTTACTACGGATTTTAACCCGATATTCTAAACCAAAGATATTAATTATCTTTGTATATATAATTCTTCTGTACGTGTATGTAACTGAACTCCTAAGCGGCTGGACCTATTTTAATGAAATTTTGTATCTTCAGGTCGATTCGAGGATGGTTTAGATTCACAATTCGGTCTACATTTTTTTTAAATATTTTTATTTATAAGTTGTTTTTGTCTTTCAGTCGTGTTTACAGGACGTCTGTCGGGTCCCCTAGTGTATATGTAGTTTAAGATGAACCTATTTTACTACACAGTAGCTTTTAGGTAAAAAAACGACAGCTTTACAACATCTTGACAAGATGACAAGCATATCGACCAAGGAACAATGTTTCGAATCATGGCAGACATGAGCGTGTACAGTAAGAAGGTGCAATAAAAACCCAGATAAGGATAAGCTATTATAATTATAATAGGTTTATTTTCCACATATTTATTTCACCTGCTCTTACCGCGCCTAGATGATGGCAAAGATTGGGTTTTTAGGTTTTTTACGACCGGCCGTTTTCCTTTGACGTCAACCCTCCTTCCGAACAGACCCAGATCCGGAACGAACGAACTGAGAATCGAGCTCACGACCCCCGGCCTAGCCAAAATAAAATTTGGCTAGGCCTAGGCTTTGCAAAAGCGCAATCGAGTCATGTGAAATAATCTAATATATAAAATTCTCGTGTCACGGGGTTCGAACTTGAACTCCTCCGAAACGGCTCGACCGATTTTTACCAAATTTTATATGCGTATTCAGTAGGTCTGAGAATCGGCTACTATCTATTTTTCGTCCCCCTAAATGTTAAGGGGGTAGTCCACCCCTAAATTTTTTTTTATTTTTTATACAAAACTTTTTGTTTCTATTTTTTTATGACACAGCATACAAAAATACATACAACCCTAAATTTTCACCCCTCTACGCAGACGTAGTCGCGGGCAGCAGCTAGTATTGTATAAAATAAAACTTTTTTATATGTTTTGTACATAACTAGCTGGTGCCCTAGCTGCAACTAGAAAAATTTACTATTTTTAATATGTAAATAAAAACCTTTTTCTATTGTTTATTATTTTTGTTATTCTAAAGCAAGTGCTTTAGAATAACAAAAACTGATTTGATACCTACGATCCCCGATGTCTTGCTTGATACCTTTAAAAATGTGGACCCGGTTACCTCACTCCCCAGACGTAATTTGAAAGTTTACCAGTTCCACTTCTCGCCCGTCTTCTGTTAGGCCGTGGTATAGCCCTGACGAGCTTGCCCGTTCGTGCAACAGCAAAATTTTTTTTTGTTCAGTTTTTTAAAATGTCATAAATCATGTTTTCTGTTCTTCTGTTCGTTATGCTTTTTTGTTCTTCTTTTTAAACTTTTCATATAACTTCACGAATGGTTTATAATGTTATAAATGCTCTGTGCATATAAATAGTTTAATGTATAAGGTGTCTTACGAATACTACAGTATTAGTCCAAGTTTTAGATGTGTTAATAATACTGTAGTAATATTAGGTATGTATGTGATGTAATACACACTGCGTTGCTTGAAAATTTTGGAAAAAATATATATAAATCAAATGAAACGTCAATATTGCTTCGAACCACATATATTGTTTAACACAACCTTAAAATTCCCCATGCTATATCATCTAGCACTAATGAAGTAAACGTTTACAATAGCACACCGCATAAAACGAAGTCATAATATCAGCTGAATATTAGCAGCTGAATATTAGTAATTAACAATTTTAACTGTAAAATACTGCACTGTAGATTACGTATCTAAACAGGAGTGAAATATTAGCTTATTTAATGCCACTAGATGGCGAATATTGGTCAAAGATTAATATTGCCTCTAAAGGTCCACAAAGTATCCCAGCGTATTACAACAATCAGATCTTAATATTGGCCAGGAACCAATGCTGTCTTACACAGAGAAGATGTTGAAGTTTGATCTAGAACAGGAGATCAATATTAGTGTAGATAAGTATGTAATTATTTTTAAACAGTTATTTCGTTCTATTGTTGATAATTGGCTAAAACATGTGGTTTAGCGGATAGTGCAACTGGCGATTAATTCGACAACAATTTTATGCAAAATACCTTCGTAGTTTTGCCTTTTAATTTATATCAACTGTGCTTTACTTTTTAGAAATATCTCTTGAACAATAATCTTCGATAAATTGTTTTGGATTTTTATCGCACCATAATTCTTGCCGCTAAATCGTTTTCTTTCAACGAATACAATTTTATATCCATTAGATTAAAATTTCAAGATTTGTATGCGCCATCAGATATTAATACGACTTCTTAAAGCCATAATTAGCATTTACTATCAGCCAAACCACATATTTCATACAAAGATTACATCATATGATAATCAAAACTCGATCATCACTGTTACGTTATATTCACTGGAATGTCATCATACATTATAAATAAATAATTGTAACAAGAGAAATACACATTAAATACATATAAGCACAGATTAAATAAGATAAATCGATGTCAGAAAACGAAATATCGAAAATATGTCAACATTTTTTACGAATTGTAAATGCTTGCTGAAGGAAATAAATCTTGTTAACAGTCGTTAAAATAATCTATAATAATTCAATAATAATAATAATACAATTGTAATAAATATAGAAATATAATAAATATCGCTCACAATATAATACTGTACAGCTAAGATTCGCAACTAGTAAATATATTAAATATCTCGCATTACATATATTGTAAACATTTAAAGGTAACACCTACCCACGAATGATTAGGTAGATTAAAATAATAAAATATTATTGAAATTATTGCTCATAACAATTCATGAAACGAATCATCCTAATCTATGAATCATATTGCAGCAGTTTTAAACAGAATTGTAAAGGTCGTAACGCCACATTGTAATTATCGTAAAATCAAAATTGTTACCTCCAATGTAATTAGAAAATAAATAATCGTTTAAATTTAGAGATTAGAAGCTGTATTATATTTATGAGAAGGAATTTATAACAAGAATCGACATTCGTAAATTATCTGTGCCAAGAAATTGGCGCGAAATATTCATGCCATTCAACTGTCCAAACTTCAAGGATTCTAGAAATCAGCTTATTATCTTTATTGCTAGATAGTGTTGTATCTATTTATATAAATCCATAATACATCTACTCAGTATATCATTGCTAGTTAAAAACGGTTAAAAGGTCAAGTCGAAATAACGCATGCGGCATGGCACGCATCAAAAAGTTGGCAGTAAGACTGTTTACGAAATTGGGGCTTCATTATCGAAGCTGTGTTTCAAAAATTTGGCTGTGTTATATACATATTTATCAACACAGAGCAAAACCGACTTCAAATATCTCATACACCGTACATTTTCCGTTTGTTTCTGAGGAGTTCCCTCACATATCCATATAAGGTCCAATTAAAATGAAATTTGAAACAAACCGAATCCAATTTTTAAACTTCGAAGTTCAGAGGTAGCGAACATAAAAAATAGAACCGAAGTCATAACCTCCTCATTTTTGAAACCGGTTGAAAAGTCGACCAGCAAAAGTGGAAAGACAAACAGGATGAGCTAAACTAACAGACGACCATAAGGTTCGCATTTAATGGCTTATATAGCAAGGAAGCGAATGGATATTTTGAGCAGCAATAAGCATTTCGTCTCTCGCGTCGCGTCGTCTCGTCTCGTCGAATCTTCTGGAAATGTAAAGGTGCTTACATCTGAATATGTTGTTGTTAGGCTTAAGATTTTATCAAATGAATTAGTCAGGCCCAAGGGCTGTTATAAAATTAATCCATTTGATGATGAAAAGGTTTATCTGCGATATTCCAAATTAATGGCTTAATACTTATCTGAGATTTTAATAGAAGTAAAATTAAACTAAAAAAAACAGCAATTTCTTATAGATTCTCGTGGTCCAATCTATTCAACTGCGCTTGGTTTTGGTGAAACTTTAATATAAAGGGTAAGGGAGATAGAGAAATAGAATAAGCTTTGAGGTACCTGGCAGCTCAATAGAGAAGTAGATCGGGAAGAGCCGGGTGGTTGGCCCGTCGCAATTTCGCACCGGGAGAGCCGCCCGCCAGTAGAGGCTCTTGGGAGAGTGAGGAGAAGATCTCCTGCAACTTCTCCTGTATTTCGTACTGAAAAGAATATTACATTTTAACTCAGTTCTCTTCTTATGTGAAATGTTGACAAGCGAGCAGGCGGTTCATCTGACGGTACGTAGAAGCGTTGCTGATCGTTAAAAAGTTGGGTCTAGTTACCTCAGTAATCAGACAAAACTCGAGTCTTTTTACTCCATGCAATCATTCCGTCAGTTTGTTTTACATTCCTGGGTGAGTACTCATCCGCCCTTAGAGATAGGATAAGGCTCTCTTCTCGAAGATCTTGCCTCGAGTGGAGTAATGGAGAACGGTTTAGCTATATTAGGTGGGGCAACTTGATATCGTTTTATTTATTTATTTATTTACACACTTTTTTGTACTAACTGGTACAAACGGCGGGCTTAATGCCATAAGGCATTTTCTACCAGCCAACCGGAAAGTTAGTGAAAGAGAAGTGTAGGTGCTAGCTATATAAGGATTATATAATATGTATACATACATTATGATAACAATTATTAACTTACAAACTCGTTTTGTATATCTCCTGCACCTAAACTGAGTGTCAATTGGGACCTGCAGCCAATAGACGAAGCAGCGTAGTTTCCTGCACCTGTTTTTGATGGGGTGTCGTACCTTGGGCTGGGTGAGGTGCAGAAGGTAGTCGAAGGGCGCGGTGCGGAAGGCGTTGTTGAGGCTGGCTTTACGGCGCTCGGCGTCTCGCCGCTCGGCCTCGCTAGGGCCGCTGGCCGCCCGCCGCAACGCCTCCAGGCTCACGCTCTCCGACTGCGGCGCGTGCTGCACCCAACGTCCATTCGAAACTTATCTTCCGACAGCTTACACAACCAAACCTCGCTCGTCAATCATTTCTCGACAAACACACTCTTCCAAGCCCAACCGCCCGCATCATCAGAACTAACTTCTCGACAAAGTTAGCTATTTCGCACGCCACCCTGTCAACGAAACAAACCTCAATCTTGACTCTTCAACGAAACTGGTATCTCGACAAACACACGCCTTCCTCGCTCAACAAACCTCCCACATCATCTGAATACACTTCTCGAAAAACTCAATTCTAAAACACACTGTCATTTCTTAACACAACTCCCTCAAATAAAAACAGATTATTGAATAAAATCAGTTTTTTCACAAGCCTTTATTTCTTACCAAATATCCAGCCCTCGTCATCAAATTGTGGCGGTTTACGCACCATCACTTTTCTACAACTCATACAATTATTCCGTTACAAAAAGTCCCTCCTCAACACGTTTCATCCTCCAAAATACCTTATTCCGCAATATCAATTCATATATGCACATCCCATTAACCAAAAATCATGATTCCTTACAACCAAATGAAAATCTCTCCCTGAACAAATAGTATCACTAATAATCCTCAATCATCTTCTTGTTCCTCCTTGGCACAGCACTCAGATTCGTGAACATATATTGTTCGTCTCCATTGAGTACGGTAATAAACTATGAGTAACTATTCATTAATGAATCCTTATGAACATTATTATGCAATATAATTGAAAATTCAATCTCTTATCGCAGATATTTTTTTACAGACTTTAAATTTAAACTTACTGAACAAATATACCTAATTCCACAAATCGCCTTTAACCTCATTACATTACATAGTTTATCTATATTAAAGAATCTAAATTAAACTACTCAAATGATAGAAACCTTGCTAATTAATCGTCAAGTCTACACAAATTTGACTAAAGCCACGTTTCACGTGACTTTCAAATGGATTAAACACTACAATCAGTACTAAACACTTGACCATTACAAATCACATATTGAGCTATTGAAACGGAATCTACACTAACCCCAAACCCTACATCTAAAACGAGACCGACGTATGTTGGTGCGACGTCTGTTTAACTAATACCGAGTCGCGGTTATCCCTCGTCGTCTCACGCAAGTTGAAGTTATGGGTGATCTCGTGGCCCCAATTCCAAAACTCGGTGTCGCTACGCTGGAGGGGAGGGGGATAAGGAGCAATGATCGAATGAATGAATGAACGAATGGATGTATGAATGACAAATCAATTTTTTTACGAAATTTAAAAAAAAATATTAACGAAAAGCAAAACCGACTTCAAATATCTCGCTCTGTATTCATTTTATAATTGATTTTCAGGAGTTACCTACGTATCTCCCTAGCCCAAGATCCAATACCAGTGAAATTAATATGGGACCACGTGGGAAGCACCAGCTTACAAATTAAAAAAAGAATCATCAAAATCGCTTCACTCAGTCGAAAGTTCTGAGGTAACAAACACAAAAAATAAATTCAGCCGAATTGAGAACGTCTTCCGTTTTTGAAGTCGGTTGAAAATAAACAGCCAGGCGCTAACACTACTAAATGTTCATCATTATTTTTCCCGTATTTCCCATTCACTGTACAATTGGATCGTCAACAGAATCGAGGAAAGGCAAAAAGATTGACCATTGTTCACTTATACATTGTTACGAACACACAAAGGAACTAGCGCCATCTAGCGTCAACCAGTAAAACCACTCAAGGAACAAAGACAACTCAAAACCCCCTATTCAATACTAGATGGCGTTAGAGGAACTACTGTGGAACTATAGTCTCGAAAACCGGGTACATTCGTGAACTTTCCAGAATCACGATCATGTTCGCGCGTGTCGGGTACGTTCCAGGAAGGAACTTTCTGGATTAGTCTGGGACTCGTCTCGGCCCATATAAAAAGCCGCAGGGAGGCGAGCGAGACAGTTCAGTTTGAGCTACCTTCGAGGCGACTTCGGAGTGAAAACTAGTGATCAAGAGCGATACCAGTGAAACCTACGACTTGGCTACAACCTAGGACATCGTTAGTTCTTAGTGTTTGGATCTAGTGCTTTGTGTTGGACCTAGTGCTAGTGAATAAAGTCTTCAAAAGAGTCATCAGGACTTTCTCTCCAAATCCTTCGAACCCTAACACGTAAAAATATCATCTATCCCACGTCATCTAACACACGTTAAAAACGGGGCCATATTGAACGTTAAAGTTAAAAAGTTTAAGGTAAGTTCAGCAAAAGAGACTATCATATCTGGCCAAAAGCCCGCTTCGCAGTTTAGTTTCTCAAGGTACAACGAAACAGTCCACATTTGCAAACAATACTGCGAAAGGCTCATTGATTGATTTAATGAGATTATAAAGGGAAACATGTTTAAGAAGCGAGAGACTCAGACTTGATTTAGAAAAATCGGCCAAGTTCGAGTCGCACTCGCGCACGAAGGGTTCCGTGCCATTATCAATAAAAACGGCAAAAAAAACTTTGTCTGTTGTATGGGAAGCCCCACTTAAATATTTTTTATTATTTTTTAGTATCTGTTATTATAGCGGGAACAGAAATACATCATCTGTGAAAATTTCACCTGGTGACAGACGGACAGACAGACAAACAGCGTAGTCTTATTAATAGGGTCCCGTTTTACCCTTTGGGTGCGGAACCCTAAAAAGTGGAGGGGGTGAAGGATGCGGGGTGCTTAAGGGCTGAAAGGGATAAGGTTAGGTAATATTACGTATGCGCCGAAGCTGTGCATGTGCGGCCGATGACCTCGGCCGTGCGCCATCACGAAGAGGCGGTACTCCTCGTCCAGAGACTCCAGGTCCACCTGAACAGCCTGCTTTGAGGACCCTAGCCCAGATACCCTCGTATGTCGATTGTATTGAGGGGTTCCACAGGGCGAGCAATGGTAATGACACGTAGTGACGTCATCGCTTGCTAAAAGCGTTTCGGCACCCCGCAGTGTCGCGAATGGTGATGTAGTGACGTCATTGTCACTGATAGTTTTGTTTATAAATTGTACATTGATTTGAATGCTGCTTCGCCGTATTGATTTTAAGTTCTGTCACGATGATGAACAGGCCAATATTAATTAATTTTTAATTTATCCGTTGCAACTATGTAGTGACCCTTGAATTTTTATTTATATACATACATTTGCACATCACTAATTGCTTATTCATTATCTTTTGATTATTTAAAAGCAAATGTTTTTATAATTTGGTCTATAGAAACATCATCCGACAATTTCCTTTTAATACTTCTAACATTATTTCATGACAAAAGTCCGTAAGTTTATTCCCGAAAGTGTAGGCGCATACGACTAAGTTTTTGATTGTGTTAGTGAATGTAAAAATTATTTGGTGGTCGAATGTTGACTCTTTGTGTCTGGGCTAGAGAAGCGTGTGTAAAGGGGCGGGCAAGTTAAAGGTGAAAGCGTGAGCGGAATGGTGGTAAAATATATGAGTTAATGCGTAAGTATGCACGGTTTGATGTTAACGAATACGTTTGTGTGCGCGGCTGTGTTATGAGTGGGTGTGGGTGTGTGTGTGTGTGTGTGTGTGTGTGTGTGTGTGTGTGTGTGTGTGCGTACCCGGGTTACGCCGGGCGAGCTGCCCGCGCTGTCCAGGTCGGGGGGCGCGGCCGCGATGTCCGCCAAGCTGTCGCGCCCCGCCGCTGCGCCTGTGGCAACACTTTCTTTAAACATGCCCGTCCACATCGGGCCCATAACGTGCACGCATACGAATCGCCGTTGCAGACGCGCGATTAAATGCATATCTCTTTTTTTTACCTATCCTAATACGCTACATTGCTCTCGTCGCTTTGATGGACGGCCTTGACTGTTGCAATTCGTGAGTTGAAACGGTAAGTTTCACTAAAAATATGGAATACAAGATCGGTTTCATAACGTTCACACGGAGATCAACTTATCACTTGTTAGATTCATATCGAAAACTCAATTGGTGTAGTGGATAGTGACAGTGTCTCTTGCGCCAGCGGGTGTGGGTTCGATCACTGTACAAGCTGCGCTCGACATAATTACAAAACGGCGTCAATTGCACGCCTCATCATTTTTGTTTTAAATTAAAATAATCGGCGTTAAAATCGCAGTTCGCTGTCAGTCATCAAGCATGTCACGCGTTCTCATTTATCAAGTATTTTATTAATTTTGGGACAATACAGCTATTTTAAACTTTATAAAATGTTTTATATCAAGTCCTAGGAAACCCTAAATTCCTACAATCACCATTACTGGAAAAATATTGTACGATGATAATAGTGAAAACTACTATAGTTAGTTTACAAAAGAAAAGCATGTTAAGTATGTTTATCACTTACCTAGTCCATATAATACAAGCTTTGCTTAGTTTGGGAATAGATAGCGTTGAGTAAAAACATGTCCCGTAATTTAATTTTATTATTTTCTCCACCTCTAATGCCACGTATCCCCCATGTTTACGACCGGACAGATCCGGACCAATTAACCCTGGGCCACTCGATAATGGAAACACGCACCCGACTCGAGCCAGCTGTGGCGGTGCTCCAGGCCGGGCGCGTGTGCCGGCGCGCTGTAGGGCAGTGGTGCGACAAGTCGCGCTGCCTCCACGCCGCTGGCGCGCACGCTCTCGCACAACGCCATCTGTCGGCACACGAGACGAACTTTCGTTTACTTTACAACATTTTTTTTTATTTAATTTTTCTAGATAAATGAACAAAAACTTTTGTGATGCGGGGCTTCGAAATTGCGGGTTTTAGTTTCGCGTCCAACTAAGCTAAGCGGCCGATGAACTCAAAGCGTGAAAGTCTCGACATCTATCTACGTTTGTTGTATTGAATCTTTAGCGATGCATGGCGTGATCTAGTGTGCAACCTTTACAGCATACAGCACCTTGCAAACAACATTAGATGATTAATATTTGTAACGAAAGATGTCATCATTGCTGTAAATTTTTTTAAGATTAATTTTTTTTAAGTACTAGTCCTTGCATTTTCTTCTGTGATGTGGTAAGCGAGCTGCCAATTAACCCAATGTTGAGTGATACCACCGCCCATTGGCATTTGCAAAACCTCTAGGTCTGCAGATACATTGCCATCTTTTAATTAAGTGGGCCCTGGCTACCTCACTCACCAGACGAAATGCATTTCCACTTAACGCCAGTTTCCTGTGAGGTCGCGATACTTCCCCGGACGGACCCGCCCATTCGTTCAACAGTGAAGTGAGTTGTGTTACTTCTTTTAGCGCACTTACATACATACATATACGTACATAGGTCCAAAGCAAGCGCAAAGAGCACAAACTGAAAAGGAGTGACCGACCTGATCAATCATCAGGAAAGGCAACTTGGATGGCATCTTCGAGGGAGACAGTTCGCCGTAGTCTTCTAGCAGCGGTGGCAGAAGGTGTGGAGCTTCTTCGCGCCGGGCCTCTATTATCTGCGAGGAAACGTCGTGTTTAATTTTAACTCTTCTTTCTAGTGTAGTGAAACTATGGTCTTTTATAATAAATTCTTGTATTTACGCGATTACAAATTACGAAATGAAACTATGAGGCGTTCGTATTTTACATGGGGATGAGGGGGCGTTTGTTTTGTAGGGGGAGATGTGGGGGCGTGCATATGGCAGAGAAAGATGTGGAGGTGTTCGTATGGTAGAGGAAGATGTGGGGGGATCGTATGGTAGAGGGAGATGTGGGTGTGTTCGCATGGTAGAGAGAGATGTGGGTGCGTTCATATGGTAGAAGGGGAATCTGGGGGCGTGCGTATGATGGAGAGGGAATATGGGGGCGTGTGTATGGTAGAGGGGGATGTAGTGGCGTGTGTGTGGTAAAGTGGGGGCGTGCGTATGGTAGAAGGGCTGTGGGGGCGTTCATATGGTAGAAGGGGGATATGCGGTGTGGGTATGGTAGTGGGGCTGTGAGGACGTGTGATGGTAGAGGAGGGTGTGTGAGAGGAGGTGCGGCACCTTGGAGACGTAGTCCGCCAGCACGGGCAGCAGCAGCACGTGCGGCGGCAGCGCGCACAGCGCCAGCGCCACCGCGTGCAGCCGCACCTGCTGCGCCACAGACAGCACCGGGTTGCGCAGCGCGGACTGCTGGATGCTGCACCGCCACCGATCGTATTACATTTTGTGTGGGAAGCGTTGGTATCCAGTGTCGATGGCATTATCGCGTGCCGTAAGGACGTTTCGCGTGAATCAATTCCACGTGGACAAACACACGTGGGAATAATTATCTGTTGGTCACACAAATAGTTGCCCCGTGTGGAAATTGAATCCGTGACATGAGTCACCACCAACTCAATACGACAGACCCGCCACGCTAGCCAACCACGTCGGAATGCATTTGACCGAATTAGACCGATTCATGCTCAACTTTCTGGTCTCAAATGGACCAATGTCTCATCTCTCTTTACTCCGGCACATTTCGCTATTCTTTAATTTAAGTTCCAGTTTTATTTCCAGTTATACATTTGGAAACATCTTAATTGTTTCCATCCTAACTTATCGATCGAAAATGCTGAGTATTCATGTCTTGTTCTGTTCATGCAAAGGCATTTATTATCCGATTACTCACGCAAGTATCAATTGCAGGATGTCGCAGACCGTCTCCTCAGAGGCCAGCTCGACGCACAGCAGAGCCAGCGTGGTGTAGATCGCTTCCACGTTCTCGACCGTGTTGGATTCGAGTTGGAGGCCTGGATGAGGGGAAACAGAACTTCAAAGTAAAGTATCAGCCTGTACATGTCCCACTGCTGGCTCAAAGACCACACGCCACCTTAACGAGGATTGACTGACTTCACATGTACTCGAAATATTCCTTTTTGCTACTATTTCGAAAATATACAGGTTTCCTCACGACATTTAACTACAACGCCTAAAATTTACATTGGTTACCGAGATTTGAAATCAGGATGCTCAAGTATATTAATTAAAAGTGAAGACGCGGACACGGACAAAATATCTGACGCTGAAGACCAAGAGCTTTTTACCTTATCACATATAGTACTTATCACATATTGCATACAGAATAAAATAAAAACCCCAACTCACCTTCATACAGAGAGCTGAAAATCGCGTAGCCATGCTTGCTGATGAAGATCAAGTCCGGCCTGGAGCACTTCTCCACCGTCAGCCCCAATTCCGCGTAATCCACGCTGCAAACAAATGGGGGTTCGTAATAACTTGTGAAATCTTGTGGGCCATCTCACGCAAAGACTTACCATCATCTTATCCACAGTAGCCAAGGGCTGGTTTTCTTTGTATTATTAGTCTAGTCTAGTCTTCTATACAACAGTAAATGGACTAGGTTAACTCATTCTACCCTATGATGGAATCCCCCACCCATGCTCTCTCCGAGGGCATTCCCACCGAACTGTCCGTGATGTTTCTGGGACGAGAGGCAACAACATGTGATGAGTACCTAAATCCACGGGCAGTTCTCTTGTGTATATCCACCCCCCCCCCCTCCTCATTCCACTATCGAACTTCGAACCGCTCCCCCCCCCCCCCCCCCCCCCTCCTCATTCCACTATCGAACTTCGAACCGCTCCCCCCTCCCCCCCCCCCTCATTCCACTATCGAACTTCGAACCGCTCCCCCCCCCCCCCCCCCCCCCCCACCCCCTCCTCCTCATTCCACTATCGAACCCACGTGCCCCCTTACTGGACGACTATCGCGAGGCTCCCCCCCCCCCCCCCCACTATCGAACTTCGAACCGCTCCCCCCTCCCCCGCCCCCCCTAGCGCACTCACGTGGGCTTGGCCAGGTGGGGCGCGTTGGTGCGCCGGTCGAGCAGCGTGTGCAGGATGCGCTGCAGCAGCGCGCGCGTGGGCGGCTCGGGCGCGGCCGAGAGCCGCAGCAGCGCCTCCAGGAAGGGCGCCGGGAAGGCCTTGCTCAGCTCCGCGCTCTTGTACGTCGCGCCCACCTGATATTATACGGGGGCCCCTTGCTGTTGCACGTCTCTACCGGCCGCTAAGGACCTCGGCGCGCCCCATTTACAAACTCCCCACGTTTGTCCGGTTATTTACGCTGTTACCAAGTGAGTACCGCTACCGATGGTCGTCTACATCTGACGTTGCAGATACGTCGCCGACCTTCACAAAGGTGATCTTCGGTTACCTCACTAACCAATTAAAAGACTTGTGACACTATACTCATGCAGAATTTGCTGAGTAGTCCCACCACAGTAATTACTACAAGCAAGTTCTTAATGAGCAAAGCAAAATAAATCATAAAGTCATTCCCCGGATTGACATTGAACATTGCCAACTAACGCGTTTACACTCGACAAGAATATAATAGCAGCTCGTAGAAGAAATCATAATACATATAACATAAATCCAATTTTATATCGTACAAACAAATACAAACTGTAATAATTGGTTCTGGTCAGGATAAGATGACATTATTAAAAGTAGTTGAAACAGATTTTACAGGGTGGCTTTTATAAAGGTGCCCAAATTTACATAGGAGGTTCAAACTCGATAGTATAATCGTTTATTGAAATAAAAGCAAACTTTTTTTTTTTTTTTTTTTTTCAAAAAATTGCCATTCTATACCTAAAAAACAGAACTTGTTGGCGATGCGGTAGTCATTCATAAATGCGTTGTATTCTTTTAAAACAAACTTATGCGCGTGTTAGTTATGAATGATCGCGCGTAAAATAAACATAAATCACGCACTTTCGGAGATAAGTTCACATGAATGTATTTAATTAATTACGAGTGATTTTAAATATTTATCATTTATTATCTAGAATTGAATAATAAAAAAAAACGAGAAACCCCTCCCCTTATATGCCAGAGACCCGAAGGCCCAACCCCTCACCTTCAGGAGCGACTTGAGCAGTATGCTCTGCAGCATCGCGTCCGCCTTGGTGCCCTTCCCGCCGCGCTGGCTGCTCGGCACCTTGCTGACGATGAACATCATGATGTCGATCTTCTGGAAGTCGGGCAGGTGGTCCGCGAACTCGCCGAGCGCGTTGATCAGCGCGTCCTGGTACAGCTTCTCGTCGCTCTCCTTCTGCGAATTTAATAGCGCCACGTGCAACGGGCCGTCCATTAATCAGGCACTTTTAACCCTCTCTGGTGATGCTTGGTGAAGACTAAGACGTTAATCCCCCTGCCCCCCTCCCACCAAATTATTTCGCTCATTAATCACGCATTTTTTAAACACTCCCTGGTGATGCTTGGTGAAGTTAAGACGTTACACCCCAAAGTATTTCGACCATTAATCAGACCCTTTTAACCCCTCCCTGGTGATGCTTGGTGAAGTTTAAGACCCCCCCTCCCAAAATATCTTTAAGTACGAAAAGATATTCACAAACGGCTTTTCTGCCGGGCGGGGATATCGTACTGGCAGCACCGAGCTAAACACATCGCTTCTGTTTAGAAACCAAATAAAAAAAAGTAGAATATAATTTAAAACATTAAACATTACCCTCCTTCTGGCGCAGTCGGGTGATATGTTACGTCCCTCCCCCTTGTTATATTTCGTGATTATTGCTGAACCTCCTACCCCACTGCCGGGAAATGGTCGACATCAAAATTGCTTATTCCCAAGTCTTGTTCAAGGTGTAAAATTAAGAATGTTGCCTTAGGCAAATGGCCACGCTATCGTCTGTCCACCTCCGTGAGAGTGGGCCATGAGCCGAATATATATTAGCTATACTAGTAGGCAGTGATGTAAGAATATATGGTAGTTAAACAATTAGTACTTTTTAATACGCACCTCGGAGTCCCTAGCAACGGACGCTCTCAGGTTTGTGAGTAGATTGTTGATTATCTCCAGGACAGAAGGACCTGAAATTAGTTTCATTAAATAATAAATTCGAGGTTAAACGAAAATTAGTAAACGTCATCAACGGTTCAGCTGTACACTTCGCCGTCGAGTTTCGGATTCGATTTTCGAGAGGAACTCGTATTTGTTTGATGTTTGGTCAAGACGGCTGCTCTGAAGATCTTCGAAACAACGTTTTTTCTAGAACCAAAGTTAAATACTCAAGATTTAAATTATCAAATCAAGAATCACATTATCGATACGCAACTTATAAGGAATGGAACTGCATAAACTGATTGATTTTAATTTGAAAGTCAATAATTTATTCGCCTTTTACAAAATCAGGATGGATATGACTCCGTGTCATACTCGTAAATATGTTTATTATTGAAATTAATATATAAAACGTTATGTTTGTCCCTTCGATAAAGGAAAATTTTATCTCAGAATGGGACAATGTTTTTTAAAGGCACGAGCGAATAGACGTGCATTAACCAAGTGCGAAAACAAAACGGGACAGAGGTCGTCTCCTTGTGCAACTTTGGGGAATTCTAACTGTTAGAAAATATTGGATGTTCTGTAATGAGCAAATTGTATATAGGATAAAATGTTTGAATACATTGGCAAACGAATGCTGTTAGAATTCATCATCAAACAAGTTAATTTTAAGAAACGTAGGACAAACCTATAGATGTAGTCTGAGGGTTTGCAGTTTGTTTTCAAAGTTTTTCGACGTCAGGAAGGCGGCTGGTCGCAAAAAACCATAACCAAAACCATTTACAACATCTCATTTAGGTAGGGTAAGGGCAGTTGGATGATGATTGCCTTTATAGTCATGTATATAAGACCATTAAGTTATTCGCGGGATAATATTAAGACCAGGTAATCGAGGCCTTTTACGAAATATAATATGCACGTGTCACGGACCGCTAGGGTTAGCTAGAATTGGGGCCTTTTGCGAAATGTGCCAGCCTCGTGCTATCGCGGACCGCTAGCGTTGGCCAGAAAGAGAAAGCTGCACCGACCTACGCTGTCGGCGGCCGCGATGGCCACGATGTTGCTGAGCACGGAGGCCCTGGCGGCGCGCACCCTCGTCCTGCCCGCGCCCCCTCCGCCCCCGCCCCCGCCCCCCGCCGCCCCCGGGGCGCCGCACCCGGCGTCCAGGTGCTGCATCAGCGCCTCCACCACGCTGTACGAGTACTGCGCCTGCAACACCACCCCCGTTTTTTTGTGAGAAGGTGGCGGCTCACCCGACGCATGTGACAACCGCCGCCCGTCGACACTTGCAACACCCGTAGGGCTAAACTAAGAAAATTGCGATGCCACCGCGGCAACACACTGATGCGCGACCCTGCCACACAACAGCCTCTGCTGTTGCTCGAGCGGGCAGCCGCGTCAGGGGAAGTACCGGGGCCACGCAGTAGATCGGCGTGAAGGAGAGGTTGAAGTATTAAGCTTACGCGTTTTGTCTGGTGATTGAGGAAACCGGGGCCCAAATTTTTAAAGTTTGCCTACGCATCAACACGCCATCTGGGAGGCAGTATTCACTTAACATCAGATTAACCGCCAGCTCGCTTGCCATCTTCTCACACAAAAAGAAATAAGTCTAAAAATATACACATAAGTGAATATTGTAGTATTAATGAACACTGACATAATGTTTAAAACGTACCTGGATCGAGAACATGATAATTTTGAACGTGTGGACGGCGAAGTCGTTCGGCACCCAGAGCTCGTGGCGGTCGAAGTGGCTGTAAAGGGGAAATAAATTAAAATATTAATATTTTATTTAGATTATCTCAATGCCTCCTTTTACGGAAAGCAGGGGGATACCTGTCGGGAATGTCACCTTTTCTGATATCGACTATCCCATTGTCCCTTTTTACGGTAGATACGGTGGATATATCCCCCGAATGTGATCCTTTATTGGTATAAATAATCCTACTGCCTTTTTTACGACAGGCGAGAGACACGTCTCCAGAATGTAACCTTGTTTTTTGGTATGACTCCCAGTGTGACACTGGGACCGTAGACACTTTTACGGTAACCAGGGAATACTTAGCCGGAATGTGACTTACAGCACACCAAGAGGCTGGTGTTATTGGGTATGGTGCTGGTGGGCGGCCACTCACGTGAGCACCGGCCGCAGCACGCTGCGGATGTGACCTTTTTGGAGTCGACCATCCCAGTGTCCCCTTTTACGGCAACCATACGTCCCATACGTTTCCGGAATGTGACCTTTACACCAAAAGGCCGGCTACGTACGATGGCTGGCCACTCACGTGAGCACCGGCCGCAACACGCTGCGGATGTGGCCGAAGGAGGCGCGCCCCACCAGCTCGCGCAGACAGGCCTCCGCCAGCCGCGCGGGCTCCTCCTCGGCGCCGTCGCGAGTGTCCGTCTCCATGCAGGACAGCGTCTCGTACTTCTCCGCGATCTGGAAGCCGCCGTTAGTCTAGAACCATCTCCTGACCTAATTTACACTTAATTAGGAGTACAATTAGTTCTTTATTAATAAGATTTATAATATTTAATTCGTTTATTCGTTTGCCTTTATGTAGAGTATTAAATCAAAGGTAAGTAAAAACTTTGGATAATTTGGGACTAGATCCCTATGTGTAACAATGTCCTGAAATGTTTATTAAAGTTTAAAAAAAATTATAATTACTTATATTGTGAATTCCTCCTTTTAATTTCACTAAGGCACGTGATTTTAAGAACTGCATCCATTTTCGTTGCCATATTAATATTAACTGTAGTTACAGTTACCTGCATATTGTACAGAAGCGAGGGCACAATCTTGTCCATATGCTGCGCCTCCCAAATATTCTCCACCAAGTCGTCAGACACAGTTTTCCTTATGACGCCCTAAATAAATAAGGTAAAAGTTAATAATGAATCTTTGCAAGTCTCCTTTAAAACTAAATCATTTCAAATTTTTTTATATTATGAAAAATTGTGAAAAATTAAGCAAGTGGTTCGCCAAATCTTAAGTGATGACAGCAGCCTATTGACATTTGCAACACCTGTAGGGTTGTAGAGGCGTTGCCACCTTTTAATAAAGTGGGCCCCGGCTACCTCACTCTCCAGACGAAACGCAGAAGTATGATACCTCCGCTTTACGCCGGTCTTCTGTGAGGTTGCGGTACTTCCCCGGACGGACCTGCCCATTTGTACAATAGCTAAAAATATTGCGTGGTCCTACTACAGTAAACATTTAGTAGTATTTCAAAATATTATTATTAAGAAATTTCAACACCTAGGCAATATAAATAACTGTACGTAAACTTTAAAGAAATCTGGTTTGTGATCTCTTATTGTGCTGGTAACTGCGTGTACCACCACACCTTAATGTCAATGTGGGATGGATGAGCTTATGTCAGTTGTATGGCGGTTAAGAAATGTCAAAATAAACTGACCGATGTCATTGAATGCTTTTACTGCACTAAAGTATATTGAAATTATAATTACGAACTAAATTATAAAACTAGGTCGCGCATACAAACGCTTGCAAGTGTCAATATGTCGTGTGTGCAGTTTTGCTATACAATAGAAAATGTACGGTTTGCCTGTACACTTATATTCGTAAAACTATTTTACGGAATTTATCAGTTTAATTTATTAGGCTGTTAGTGTTTAAATCATCAATTTCCAAAAAAAATATATGCGAGAAGTCCTGTAAATTTGTCAGACGAAAGGTTCAGTGGTAAAGGGAAACCTGCATATTTTCGACATAATGACAAAAAAAAATATTTTGAAGATATATGTGGAATCTACAACGGGGTCGACCGTTTTGTATTTGCGTGGAAGCGGTTGGGTAGTGATTTTCTACGACTACTACACTACGACCTGAAAGATCTATTGTAGTCTTCGAAAACATTGGCCCGTTTTACAAACAAATTTCACGTGGACAAACACCCAGATACTAAACAATCACCTGTGGGTCACACAAATTGTCCCGAAGACAGCTGGGCAACTGCGCCACAGACTCATTAAATGTGGACTATACTCTGACACCCCCCGTACAGAGCCTTTGTCCAACAGTGGGACATTTAAAGGCTGTTGCACTTTTGAAACCAGTGAAGCCAGCTGCTCTCAAAGGGTTTCCTGTCAAATGCTGAGTGGACCATGCCCTGATACCCTCTATACAGAGGCCTTTGTCAATTAGTGGAACATTTACTGTTGCACTTTTGAAAACAGTGAAGCCAGCTGGTCTCCCAGGGTGTCCTGACCTGCAGACCCTGGATGCCGGCGAGTCGGATGCGGTCGCGGGCCGCCTTGTCCGCGTGGTTGCTGTGGCACATGGCGGAGAACTTCGACACGAAGAAGTCGTACCGGCGGTGGTAGGAGGGCGTGTCCTCTTCTATGTTCGCGAAGCGGACGAACTGCGTACACAAGTAGCCGCTGTATTCACCTATCGCTACATGTATAATTCTTGCTGTGTTTATGTGACTAAACTCCTATACGGCTGGAGCGATTTTGATGAATTTTTTGTGTGTCACATTTCAGTCCAGTACAAAGTTTATTTTTAAAAAACAATTTACTATTTATAAGCTCTTGTCGGATTTAAGTCGTGACAAGACAACGTCTATCGGGTCGGCTAGTCTCCATATTACTTTTCAAAGGTGTTTTTTTGTCGGAACCTCATAGCTTCCATAGATCTTCATCAAAAAGTACAAACAAGTATAGTATACGAGCAAGCATAGTATACGACCCGATGGCGTAGTGCATAGTAAATGTGTCACTTGAGACAGGTTCAATTTTGACTATTGGAAAAACGTTGTGTGAACAACAGTGTTTTCTGTATATGAGCGTCTTGATGCTTACATGTCTATGATACGTAATTATTTACAGAAAAAAATATGTTTAAGTATGTTTATCGCTTATCATGTGCAAATAGTACAAGTTTGCTTAGTTTTGGACTAGATAACGTCGTGTTGAAATGTGTCTTGAAATATTCATTCATAGCAATGTTTAAAGAAATATATGTACGAGCCGTTATAGCTCATTGTCCGGGCTCTCGCTTCTAATTCAATATAGCCGGTACTGTCACCAAATTGTTAATTTTAAGTGCTGACTTTTCACGTGCTCAGCGTTGAAGGAAATCATCGTGAGAAAACCTGCATATTTTCGAAATAACAACAACAAAAAAAGATAATTACGCGACGTCCGTCAATCCGCAGAGAGGCCGCGTGGTTGTCTAGACCCTAATACCCTCTGTACAGAGGAGGCCTTTGCCCAGCAGTGGGACATATATAGGCTGTTACTTTATATAGAAAGAGACTCTATATACAAAGAGAACATTGTCTTAAAACAATTGATGCTCACGCTCTGTGTCGCTAATATCTGCAGCTGTGGATCAGTTGACTCCAGAAGTTTCTGCACCATTTTAAGGAAGCTCTCGACAAACAGATTGAGGGTCTGCGAATGGCAGGCCAGCAACAGTTGGTCCATCGCTTCCATTGCGATTATCACGAAACTGCAGAACCGAAGATATTGAGTAAGCAATATTTCCATAACGAAATAAAAAACAAAATATCTTTTTTATCTGAGGTGGCAAGCGAGTTGGCGGTTCACCTGATGTTAAGTCATAACCACCGCCAATGGACATTTGCAACACCCGTAGGGTTTCATATGCGTAACCCTTTAATAAAGTAGGTATTTTTCTTGTGTTATTCTAAAGAAGTATAACTTCCTACTTGTGTAAGCAAGTACACAAACGTTTTTGTTTTTACAATGTACTAATTTAAAGTATTTTTGTATAGTGCTAATCTCTGCACTTAAGATTAAACATTAAAACTTGTAGAAAGAGTACTAAAAGATCGTCACCGCTGTGAGAATCGAACCCACGTCTTCGGCATTCACGGCATGACGCTTTAGCCACTAAGCTAAAAGGCTGATTACAACACCGACGAAAATCCTAACGTCTTTTATCTACATTGTTATTTAGCATTTGAAGCAATGCTTGGCGCATCTTTTGTTATATCCTTTCCAGCATACAAGTTTTAATACAAGTACTAGTTAAAAAACATTAGCTAGGAAATTTCGCTCTTCGTAATTATATAAATTATGCATATAGGATTCAATCTTAAGGTTTTATTCATAAAGAATGTGTGTGTATTGCATTTTACCAATTTCAAGTCTATTACCGACATATTTATCGATGTGGACAAATATGAGACCATTTCAGACTAGAAATACCAATGATGTAGGCAATAAACAGCAAGCACGGCCTACATTTTTATTAAGAAAGGGAAATCATATTCCTGCATTCTGCCGTGTCTTACTACGGAAAATATGTATGTCTTGGGATGTATGAACATTAAGAATGTTTTCATCCACTATCGTGACTCGGTTAAAGTTGGATCAAACAAGGAAAACATGGGTTTGCCTAACGTTTTTACACTTTTCAAGTTGTAATATAATGACGCCCTTGAAATCTATCGGCCTATAGTTACGCGTAACAATGGCGTGTAGTCGAGATATTAGTTAAGTGGAACGATAAGTTTTATCTCGCGTGAAGTGATCACTGATCATCTATCGGTTTAATTTCCGTCACACTTTTCAATGTAATGGAAGCAAAATGAAATGGAAGAACTCCTGATAGCCAGCGTCCGAGTTTAATTGAAATAGACGCTTGCGTGTTCTTGTGGAACGTCGAATTTTACATAATTGATATGTAAGTTCGTAAGTAAGTTACCACAACGCAGTTTGTTACGAGCACCCGCGTTGGGAAGCAATACAGGCATGTGCTCATACGTGCTTTCTCTATGGAGAGGAATGTCAACTAGGGGTCATGATCCCGATGGTCGGTGACGGTAATAATCGCTTTCAGAACCGCCCTGGAACGGTGGAAGGTGAAAGGTGGACCAATGAACTTTAGATTTGATAGGAAAAAGAAAGAAAGAAACATTTTTTGTACAGATAGGTGAAATAAGGCTTGGACAGTTGGAACATCTTAATTATGTACAATTAACACAAAATTGAAAAAACCTGAAAACTGGTATGGTAACGTCATTCGGAAGCCTACATTTGTATCGACTGCCCTCACATGATAATTAGAGCATTAAGAACAATACATTGGAACGTCTTTCAAAGCGAGTAGAAGGGAAAGTCCAGATGTCACTGAAGAAGAACTTTCCCTTATAGATCTCGTATTGAAGCATAAATTTGTGTACTCGAGCTCTCGGCCGATTTGCGAAATGGAAGGCAATGCTATAAACAGCACTCTGCATACAGCCTTTATTCAAAATCGGACTCCATACTTTTGTACGTACTCTGATAGTACTGGCAGGCACTACTCAAACAAAAATAAATTTTTCTTAATCCGAATTTCTTTTGGTGTTTTTATCCTTTTTTAGATATGTCAACACCATTGTGACCATCTCATTTCAAAAATGTGGAACGCTTCACGATTTTGCGTGTCATTCTTGCTCAGGGGCCATGCTATTCTTCTCTGTATCGTTCCAATTTTAGTATATGCACCGCCGAAGCAAGTACAAAAAATATTTATTTTCAAATCACTTTTAAAATTTCACAATTCTAATGCAGAAATATCAGATGAAAACCGGGACTGAATGGCGACCTCGTAATATGGCGTTTGTCCGTTAAACTTACCCGTGCCTCCGCCGGTATATGTCCCTAGAGGCCTTCTGGAACAGGTACTCGCCGATCCTGTCCAGCTTCTCTGGGCTGGACAGGGAGTAGAAGGTGAGCTTCTCCATGTTGGACTTGACCAGGCCATCCTGGGGCGACGCGGGGAAAATGTTGTCCACCAGGCGCTTGTACCGCGGCCTCAGTGCTGAGCAGCACCCACAGCAACCTGAAGATAAAAAAGTAAAAAGTAAAGTAACAGCCCATAAATGTCCCACTGCTGGGCAAAGACCTCCTCTGTAAATAGGGTATCAGCGCATAGTCCACCACGCGACCCCACTGCGGATTGGCGAACTTCACATCTATATCCGAAATATTTTTTTTTGTTATTATTTCGAAAATATGCAGGCTTCCTTGCGATGATACCCTTCACCGCGGAGAACGTGATAAGTCGAATATTAATAACTAAAAATTGAAAGTTTCATTGCTGCCGGCACCGGGGATCGAACTCGGGTTGTTCGAGTATATTGAATTAAAGGCGAGCGCCCGGACAATGAACTATCCAGGCTCCTATAAGGATGATAAAAATTTCAGTGAGGTTGATTTTTGTTCCTGTACACAGGTGATGTATTTAGACTGAAACTCTATTTAGGCTGGTAGATACTAAAGTCGGTTACATACCTCCATTTCAGTACGTAAATAAGCGACGTCTCCGTTCGTAATGTTATGACGGGGATATCCGTATCGCAATCTATAGTTAGCCGATTCTTAACTCAGTGGCGTGCGCCGATAGTATTTACGCGTTACGCATTTCTCACATACATAAACCACTCCCACATGCAAATGTACGGCGAGTGCAAACTCCGAGTACGGCGGCCACGCTCACCAACTACTGATAGATTTGGTTACTGGAGATAGAATTTTGACATAAGTATTATGGAACTAATGTCAAATACGCTGGTAACTAAATCTATCTGTAGACAGAATATTGAAACCGGCCGTAAGCACTATAATAAGTTAAAAGTCAAAATTATTTTATTCAATACAGACTGAAGATTTAGCTCTTTTTGAACGTCAAGATAAACTACCACCGATTTTACTAATCTAGACGTGACCAGTAAAGTACCGGCAAGAAACTCTGCGGTCTTGTTATCTCTTTTATTTTATTTTCTTCAATGATACAAGTATTTAATTATTTGAGTATATTTAAAATAGGTGGATTTAAAATAAATACAATTTCTAAAATAAAAGTAGCCTAAGTTACCCCTTATTACAGCCGACAAAATTAGACAGAACATACAGAAAGACAGAACGTTAGACAAAATTTGTAGAAAATGTTATTTTGGTATATGTACCGTGTATACATCCATATGCATTTAGTAAAAAGCGGTTATTTTAATATTACAAACAGACACCCCAATTTTATTTATCTTTATAGATAAAATCAGCAGCAGCCAGGGGTCTTGCAAGTGCAGAGTTCGTTGAAACCGGTGTTGCGTTTACTATCGATACCAAAATAGTCAAAATATTCGTGACCCAGGATAACTAACACTTACATGTCATGTACACAGTCCGGCTCACAAAGAAGCACGCCCGATGGACCACCTTGCGCATAGGTAGCATGTCTACAGTTCACACACAGCACTTACACAACCGTAACATCGAACAAACCACCCAACTCTTCATTTAACTCTTCACTTACGAGTCGTCAACTCAAAACTTTATCATTTGGAACTGTATTTCAGAAATTCCCAGCGGTCACTTTCACTGTACACATTAAATTCTTAATTATCAAGGCCAATTAAACCAATTTAACAATCCCAACTCTATATTTGAATGGAATGAGTAAAGTTAAATCAATAGATTAACGGTCTAGAACCTTGTGCAAACAGAATAACTTTAGATGTATGACCATAACCTTAGTCTGTCAGGTAGGGAACTTATGGAACTGCAGATTTCGTATGATGTCATTATTGCTTTACTGTTTACGAATTCAACATGAATCACTACTACGAGGATATTCGGTGAAACAATGCCCGAATTACTGTTCTTAAATAGAAGTTCTATATTTGTAGACCAGAAATTACCAATCAAACTGAGACAGCGCCTATCATCAAAACGTTCAAATCAATCTGATTCATTAATGTGTGCTTCACTATGAAATAAAATAAATACGATTGATTACTGTCAAGAAACTGCTTTCACAAACACAATTTAAACACACAAGGTTTAGAAAATTACTCAAAGAAGTTAAGTCAATTTATGATAGCCCCATTGTCGAATCAGACCGTGAACTTGGACCATGTTTTAACCCGTCCCTGTAACCACTTTAAACTTAAATGTTAACACTGTATGTTACGATTTCATTTAATTGACACAAAAGTCGCCTAGACTTCTGTCAACACGTCCGTCCGATGGAGCCACTCGCAACTGTGTCACGCCGCGAGATAAGAGCGATAAGCGTACACTATAAACGTACAATAAATATACATAAATACATAATTATTGTCAGAAAGAATCCGGCTTTAAGTTGCTGAAAATATCTTGAAAGAAACACGATAATGCTTGAGGACTCCGAATCGGTAGGGCTACTTTCAATTCTCGTAATGGTAATAAAAGTGACAAGTAGCTGACAGTTAAGACCGTGACGGACTCGTCACATGTGGTTAAAGTTAACCTAGATAGGATTTGGAATTGTCGTCTCAAATTTCGACTCAAATTTCCATTTTCGAACCCTGAAAAGGGTTCTTGTGGTAATGTTCTAGAAGAGGTTAGCCTCATCGTTCATAAAGCTATCAGCAAAAGTGTTTTCAAAAATTTCCGTCATTTTATATTGGCGATCTTTAAGGTAATGATGAATAGTTTTCTAACGAGTTTGAGAGTTCATCACCAACGATCGAATACTCTACCATCAGACGGGATAATAAATATAAGCCAGTTACAGGATAAAAAACGAAAAAATAAATTGACAGCGCATAAACTTAAAACGAGTGGAGGCAATATTTTAAATAAAATACTAAACCATACTGCTATATCGAAGGAACTTATGAATGTTTCTGAAACAGTGTCACGATAGCAGTATCCAGTTATTTGCTTTTTTATGCGAAAAGGCGACAAGCGAGATGGCTGTTCACCTGATGGTAAATGATAACCGTCGCCAATCGACATTTGCAACACCCGCAGGGTTGCAGGTGCGTTGCCACCTTTTAATAAAGTGGGCACTAGCTACCTCACTCACCAGACGAAACGCAGAAGTGTAACACTTCTAGTTCACGCTGCTGTTGTGAGGTCGTGTACACCAAATGAACTCTAATTACTTTAAAATAAATCTCGCACCTACCGCGTCAGGACATCCGATAACAACTGTCATCAGTATTTACTAATTAGACACAATATTCGAATTTTAACTATAGTAAATGAAAAAAAAATATACAGTTGAACATAGAAACTCCACCTTTTTTTTAGTCGGTTAAAAGTTAGTCCTCAAAGCTATCGCTCGCGTTAATGAGGTACAAGATTAAGACAGACTATTTGAGAATTTTTTTAATTTTCTACCAAAACAAGAACAAACTGGGATCGATGAGAATATGGGATAGCGGGATGTTTATACTCTCATGAGTGAACACAGTTTTTAACTAGCACTTATCTTAGAGACTTGATACCTATTAATACAACAATTGACAAGAAATTTATTATTAATATACCTTGTTGTAAATAATTGAAATTTCTATGTGAAGCCTTATAAATCATATATTTATATGAAGACTCTAAAATAAAAACGGTCGAAATAAAATAATCATTTCCTTAACAAAGTAGTGATTCTTCATTGAAAAATTAAATCTTATGATTATTATAACATTTAAAAATATAATCCAAAGTTAAAGTTAGGGAGTTGGCAACACTTGATTAACGATAATAACTATTGGAATTAACAAAAATGCGACTATAAATGTTTTAAATATCACCGTAATTCGGCAGAGAGAAATATCCAATAACGCGGGGAATATAACACGAGCGGCGGATTATGTTAACTCCTGTCACGAAACCACTGAACTAGACCCCAGAGGCGGCTCGAGTGTCTAAATATAAACTGCAGGCGGTGAGGCTGAAATAGACGCTGCAAAGGGCGAGCCCTTCGCGTTGATAACTGGCGTTGTTCGTTTGTAACGTTACCGTTGACGAAACGGTTAAAACCAACGGTCTCTCGACTAATTTAAACGGTTTTTAAATAAGCCAGTCAACTAATCCATAAAGAGATCCGTAGACTGTAGATTATACACTAATAATCACGTGAGTTGTTGGCTGGGAAAGGTGAGACGCCCTGGAACGCGGGTGTATCTTCTGGTTCCCTTGTGCTGGTTGTCATCGAGGACGCAACGAAATGATTGGTTATGTTTTAGCACTACTGTGATAAACCCTACCTTGTTACCCTACCTTGAAAGACAGTGATTAACGACCGGTTTCAATATTATATCTTTTGGGAGATTTGGTTTCTAGCGATCGGTATTTGATATTAGTTCCATAAATCCAATATCAAAATACTATCTCTAATCCAGTAATCAAATCTATCTGTAGATTGATTGAATATTGAATCCAGCCATTAGACAGTCAAATAGGGCCTCATGCGCACATTCGACTATGGTTCGGCGATGAAATACAATAAGAACATATAATAACATATGTTTTTTTATTAGTATTTTATCGCCGATACTAAATGAAACTATTTTCAAGGATCAAATAAATCAATATTTGACATCGACGTTATATACATTACCATTGTGTTATTAGATAAGGAACTAAAAAAAACTGTTCTCGAAACCATGTGACAACCTTTTTCACGACTGTTAATAATACTAATGTGTTGAAGGTTGATGGCAGAAACCCCCCCAGCAGACTGGTATGAGGCCTCGCTGACGGACGCTTAGAAAACGTGCACTGCACTACTTGCGACGAATTTCATAAACCCAATTAAGTTTAGCGCTAATGTGATAACTTATAAAGCTAATATGATTTCACAATTCAATCGAGTGATCCTTAGTTCAAGTTCTGTCAGTTCTTAGTCAAGTTCTGTCAGTTCTAAGTCAAGTTCTGTCAGTTCTAAGTCAAGTTCTGTCAGTTCTAAGTCAAGTTCTGACAGTTCTAAGTCAAGTTCTGTTAGTCGTAAATGACAATTTATATAATATTTACAAGATTAATAATTAATCTATCTAAAATTACATACATATCATCTAATTAACCTAATCGAAGTCCTAAGTTTTGTCAGCCCTGTCAGAAGTCAAGTTCTGTTAGTCGACGTAACGTCCCAGTTGAGGTTTGAATACCCAAACAGGACATGGAACATTCAAACCACGGTGCCGGCATCAATGAAATTGTAAAAGGTTGTTAAGTAACGAATTGACCTAAAAGATTGTCTTTTCTTACAGAGCCATAGCTCATAGCTCAGTGTCCGGGCATTCGCTTTTAATTCAATATACTCGAGCAACCTGACTTCAAACCCCAGTGTCGGCAGCAATCAAAACTATTACTTGTAATTATAACTGCTGAATTATCAACTGTGGTAGGACTGTGGCATTCAATACTGTTCTACTGTTGCACGAATGGGCAGCCTCACAGAAGACCGGCGTAAAGTAGAAGTATTACACTTCTGCGTTTCGTCTGGAGAGTGAGGTAGCCGTGCCCACTTTATTTATAGGTGGCAACGCATTTGCAACCCTACGGGTGTTGCAATGAACCGCCAGCTCGTTTGCCACTTTCTCACATAAAAAAAAATAAATGACATATTCTGCGGTGAAGGAAAACATCGTAAGGAAATTTCATTAAATATTTTGGAAATAATAACAAAAAAAATATATTTCGAAGATACTTTTACTCACATTACTGTGGTAAAGCCACGCCAACAGCTTCGACTGTTTCGTTGTGACCGTCTGGGTAAGTACCACGACCTCACAGAAGACCGGCTTCAAGTGGAAGTGTCATACTCCTGAGTTTCTTCTAGTGAGACACGTAGTCTATTTTATTAAAAGGTGGCAACGCATCTGCAATCCTATGGGTGTTGCAAATGTCCACGGGCGGCGGTTATCACTTAACATCAGGCGAACCGCCAGTTCGCTTGCCACCTTCTTACATTAAAAAAAGTATGGTCATGGACTATGCCTTAATACCCTCTATCTATACAGAGGGCTTTACTCAGCAGTGGGACTTAATTATACAGTCTGTTACTTTGCTAAAACACAGTAGATAAAATTAAATCTCGATATAGATATGACCTAGAGCTGATTCTCAACCACTGTGCCGCGGCACTTTTGTCTGCAGCCAAATTTCAAAAGTGTGCCGCCAAATTTTGCAAATATATAATAATGTTAATATTATTAAATTATATCATTTAAAAAGAAAAATATTTTTTGCCATTAGCCAACGTCAAAACTAAAAAAAGATCAAGATTGTTAAATGTAGAAGACGATATGAGAGTAGCATTGTCATTTTTACGACCAAATATAAATGAAATTATCAAAAAACATCAAGCTCAAATATCGCATTAAAAATATTTTTATTATTAGCTTGTAATTAATCCCTTAATAAACGTTTAGTTATTATTGTAGTATATATTAGTTTATTTCGTATATTTAAAATTTTTGTCATAAACTATTTATGCAGTGTGTTGTAGTAAGTAAATAATTTTTATCTTTTTCTTTGTGTGCCGCCAAATTTTGAAATCGTTAAATAAGTGCCGCAACAAAAAAAAGGTTGAGAATCACTGACCTAATCCTTAATTTTTGTCAACATGATATTCATATATTTCTAATAGCATATAATTTGGCACAGAACTTCCATGAGTAATAAATTATATTCTTGTAGAACCTGTAACTTTGACTTTAATTCAATGAACTTTTTATTTAGTATATACTTCTTGTTTTTACTCCATGCAAAGGCTTAATAATAAACAATACTTATTTAATGTTTAACTCTTTGCTCCATGGATCTATAAAATGTGTTATAGATCAATCTGTAGAACAGATAATATAAAATAATTAATTTGATTATAAACAAAAATGTACGCAAAGCCATTTCAATCTTTACAACTCTTATCTTCAGCCCCAACATAGACTGAGAAGTCATTGATTAAAGAGCAACATAAAAAGGCAATTGTTTAAAACAACAATTTTACACAATTAGTCATAGGATTAGAAGAGAATTAAGCCAGACTTTAAAGAGCAAAGTAATTTTTAGTATTTCCATTTATTAAAAAAATATAGGATGAGAACACTCTCAATGATAAACATTCATATCTTAGATTCTTACATGCTAATAATTTACCGTAACAATGAATGGTGTTAGTGGCATGAGATCTGTTAATTACTGTGTAATGTCTTATCAAATTGATTGCATGAGGTCATATCGCATGGTCTTTGTGGCAATGTTTTATAGTATGTAGCATTGCTTCATAGTTTGGTAAACTACAAAACAAATTTTTCAATCAATTTGTTTAGTGTTACTTCATCTATACAAAATAAATAACAACTAATAAAATATATAAATAGTGCAGCAATTATGCAGGTAATATGTGTGAAAACCTCAAAATTATAGGTAGTTTTACAAATATAATGCATATTATTTCATGGCCTTCTAATTACATGAAACATTTTTACTGTTCAGGATTATGCCCGTTCCATTTCTATAACTGAAAGATACAATCCTTACAATTTCTGTAATCTATCACATACATTTTTCTGAATAAAGTAATTAAAATTGAATTATTAATACAATATTAATAAAATTGAATTAATTGAATTTTGATAATTCAGAGTATTTAACTCAATACGATATCTGTATGTCATTTTTTTCATAGTCAAAATAAATGATAATTTCAAGCTTTCAATTTATTAAATGTTTTATTTCAATGTTTTTAAAATAGTTACTATATATATTTAAAGGAAAAATGTAATGAAAAGTTGGTAAATCATATAAACACACAACAAAAAACACAAATAACAAATTTGATATTTTATTTATCAATCAAGTTCTATGAAAAGTGATAACTTACTGTGATCTGTATTATTGATAACAGATTAAATGAATGTTAATTGTTAACTCTGGTATTGATCTATTATGCACTTGCTATTTTTAACTTATTCCATTATATTAAAGATTTATAGAAAGATATTAATGGACATCTTTCCTAAAACTGTACTGTGATTATAAAAATTAACCATTAATTAATTAATTATATAACATATAAAGTATGATTTATATTATTCAAATGTATCATTTTTATATAGAAATATAAGTTAGGATAAAATATAATAAACATTCTTTACAAATAGCATATCTTAGTCTTGTTACCAGGCCATAAAATCTATATTAAAAAAAAAAGCATATCTTAGTATGTCTTACGTGAAAGAAATATTTTATATTTGTTTATAAGAATGAGGTTGTTTAAACAAAACCAAGGTTCAATTCTCAGATTGTGTATTAATTGTATATCATAATACTATTAAATATTAAAACAGCTTAGTGTTTACGTTTGTCGTCCCTGCTGTCTCGACCATCTCTGCTTGACTTAGAACGGTCATAATCATCATATTTCCTAGAATTGGTACGACTTCTTTTGTCATCTGACCTTCTTTCACGTGATCGATCCAATTCTCTATCCCTTGACCTAGATTTATGCCTTTTACTTGAGTATTCTCTTTTGCGGTCATATGGAGAACGTGAGCGTCTCTCGCGTTTCTTATGTCCACTGCTATGATATTTTGATAACGGTGGGGTTTTTGGTGATTTCTCTTTCTTTACATCTCTTTTAGAATCCTTCGATGTTGATGCGGCTGGTGAATCAGCTTTTTTCTCTTCCTTTGCCTCTCTATCTTTTTGAGCTTGCAAGTGTTTGTTTGCTTGGTATATCTTCCTTAACAAATCTACCTTGCTTTCCAATTCTTCTGGATTAACTTTAGGCCTTTTGTATAGCTGCAAAATTCTAAGTGAAACTTCCTTTATATCTTCTTCCGTTACTTTGAACAGTAAAAACCAATGCGGGTTGTTTGGCAGTGGTAGGCCAATTTTACGAGCCGTTAAATAGATGCAAGCACATGCAATTGTTTCTGGAGGAAATCTCATAAACACATCAGTGCGTAAAGCATCATTCATGTAATTCCATGCCATTTGCATGAGCTGTCTGTTCTTTTCATATTGCAGCAGCTGCAGATATACAACAATAAGTTTATGTGGATGTTTAACATGCACGCAGAAACCTAGCTCTTTAAGTATTCTTCGTTCTGCTTTTATCACTTGATTCTTAAGTTCTATATAATTCTGATCAACAATGAGAGGTGAAATATTCTTCTGTGCTCTAACTTGCTTGATGTGATGGAAAACGTTGATAACGTCTCGAATCCTACATGGTTTCTCTTCGACTTTTGAAGCTAAGTAGATACTACCCATTGCAGTTGTTTCCATTGGATACCTTACAAAAGATTTCGAATAATAGAACCTTTGTAAGTACATTTGGCCAGTTGCCATAGCTACTTGTGGCAGTTTCAGCAGAATGCCAGCGGTTTGTATCATTTCACAACCTAAAATTCGAAGGTCAGTTTCTGTCTCAATGTCCAGACCATCAATTTGTGATGGGGTCTCTTTAAATGCAGATTCTGGTAAAAGGCAGTTGTGAAGAGTGAGAACAATTTTGCCATAGTTCTTTGGTACCTTGGCTGGTGTTCCATTATTTTTCGTTTGGTTTTGTACTGTTGTAGTTGTCATGACGCTCGCACTTTGGGGAATGTTATTTAACATATGTCACAGAAGATATCACGTCAATAAAACTGTATGTTCATATTTCTTTACACTTCATATTGGTTTTAATAAAATATTCAAAAGTACATTAAAGCAAAATTATCTTAAACTAGTCGCACGATTATGAAATGACAGCCAGTGGAAGCCAAGATGGCGCCACAAATTTAACAGATGTCAGGGAGGTTTAGCTACATTGAGTACTGCAGAATTCAGAATAATAAAGAATGTAACTCACCGTATGCCATTGTCGAATATATTAAACTATAATATGACAATTATAAGAACAACCACTTTTATAAAATAAAAATAGGCGTTGATTTGAATGAGTCACTCAAATCAACAACTAAAGCCTAAACATTGTTTTTGACATGAATGCGTTCCGTTTACCCTAAACATATTCTGACATTCTCAAGCTCTTAATAAATAAAACAAATGCCTCAATTCACTAATAAATCCTATTTATTACGCAACTAAAGAAAAATAATTCATAGAAAAAAATAGTTGATCAATCTAAACTGTTAGCGCCATAGTAAATAAATAGTCCTAGTAAATAAAAAATGTTCTCTAAAGCTAACTGAATAACAATTATTTTTACATATACAATAAAAATATTATCTACATTTAACAAAATAAAAGTGCCAGTTGTACATTCTTGTTTTCTTAATATATTTTTGACACGGAATGTAAATTAGGAGCGGCAAATTTAAAAAAATAATCCCACGGATCGATAATATAAATTGGATTTAATCAACTAATTAGTAATGTTGAAAGTACTAACTTAGCAAAGTGTTATAATAGATTAATAAAATCATTAATTAGATTATTAAAAGAAGAGACATTTTTCATAACATTATGATTCATACTTCATTAGAGACATTAAGTATCAACAATTAATGCACACAAAAATGTAGTGGTAAATTATACTTACATCCCGGATCCGTACATTTCTGGACGAAGGAATCCAAAAAGTCGTGACCCTCACCGGCTTCAAAGCAACATTTAACAAAGGACATTTTGTAATAGTTAATTGACTAGTTAAACAACAGCTATAAAAATGTGATAATTTTTAACAAAGGTAAATATTCTTGATTTAAAAATATCTCATAGAAAATAACAAGCTTTTAAAACAACCACTTTTAAGTAACTAGATGGGCTCAGTGCCTATTAAACTTAAATAATATGTAAAAAAATATGTCAGAAATGGATACACCTAGGATGTAAAAGTAACAAGTAACACTTAGGTTTAATTTGATATTATTAGTATGTATTGTATGTATTATGTATTGCTTTAATTTGTACCCTAAACCTCTAAAAATAAATCACGGTTTAAAAATAGGTCAACAATGTCACATTTCGTAGTTTCGTTTTTATTACTAGTAGAGTAGTTGTACTAAATGTAGAACTAGAAATGTCAATACGGTCTTATAAAAGGTACTACATTTTAAACAGCCAACATTAAAACATCACATTTCATGTGAAAGTGTACAAGAACACAGTGTCTACACAAATTTGTTGTATTATGCGCAAAAAAGACGCGCGTGAAATATTCTGAAGTGTGGAAATTTAATTGCTCTATTGGATACTAGGTGACACTGTTATCAATAACTAATAGTTAATTTCAGTGTGCACAGTATTTTTTGGTGTTTCTATAATTTGATATGTACTAACATTTTTAAGAAGTTTTTATCAATAAGAAAATTTTCACAAATATTTTATTGTTACATAAATATTATTTAATTCTTACATAATATGTGAGGTACATATAAAATTAAACAGTATTTACGTATTTTGTAGCATGTAATTTTAATTTTGAATATTTCATATTACCCATGTTCCGAGTCAACCTTATTATTTTTAGGTTAACTTGGGCTACCGTCAGCTTTTTTTATTAGGTATTAATTCTGTTCGGTCAATACATTCAAGAATGAGCTTACAGTATATTGAGGCCGTAGTTTTACTGTCCTTGGATTTAATATATTATCCTCATCTTGTTATAAGTATAATTTTATTCTGCTGGGTTAAATATTAACGGTCAATTGCGGCAGCCTAGCAAAAATAGCGAGAAGTAATTGGGGTAACCTGCGACCTAAGAATGCCTGTAAAGCCCAAGGGACTCGTGTACAAGAGTATCATCAGGCCAGCTTTGACTTACGGTAGTGAAGCCTGGATCATTACTTAACGTACTGTCCAGGTAGCCGAAATGAAGATGCTCCGGTGGATGTGCGGGGTAACCAGACTACAAGATACGCAATGAACACATTCGCGGTAGTCTGGGAGTTTGTGACATCGGCGACAAGCTCCAAGAAAGCAGGCTACGTTATTTTGGGCATAAAGAAAACCCCAGAGGACGTATGAAATGTATTGACCAATCGGAGCATTCCGGGATCTAGACCCAGAGGGCGACCCAAAACCAGGTGGATGGATGTGGTCTGAAAATATCTACGTTCCTGCAACGTTACCGAAGATGATGCGTATGGTAGAGGTAAGTGGAGGTACAAGACCAGGAAGGTAGACCCCTCCATCAGATGGGAATAATAATTCCACAGGAGAGAGAGAGAGATATTTAACCGTAGTGATAACCGTTTTGCGAAGTAAGCTTTGACTGTTCTTAATCTGTTTTTGAAATTTCAATAAGAATTGGTATTATCTTTATATATCCGAGCTCTCCAATCAGCCAATTGGCAAGAAACAGCCCAGAATAGAGAGCAGTGGCGTCTTTTCGTGACGGAGGCCAAGATCCTCTTTTGTCGCTGAGCCAGCCAAGTAAGTAAGTTATATATCTGTGGTGGGTTAGCTCTTATCTTCTGCCATATCTTCTTAAGATACTGAAGACGTCGTTGTCCTCACAATTATTCCGACATAATTATGTATGTATATAAATCGATGTTTGTATATTTGATGTCTTGTATATATGAACTTTCAAAATCTTTAAACTAATCTTGATGAAGTTTTCAGACAATCTTAATCAATAGAAAATGTCTGCATTTGATATTGTTTTGTTTTAGTATTATTTGTAGCAAAAACCAAGCAAAGACCAAGCAAGGGTCGCTGGTTTTTCATACAAAATGTCAACTCTTCAGCATGTTTTTCCTACTTCATTTGCAAAAATGGACATTTCTGAATAAAAAGTTTCTTTTATTTAAGTAGCCTAGGTTAGCTAGGGATAGTTTATCTGTTTCACAGAGAAAAAAAATTCAAGATGATGAGTATTTGGAAAAAGATTCCTAGAATATACAAACGAATTTTACTGCAGATTATTGGATACATTATTTATTTATCATAGTTTTAAAATCACGAAATTCAAATAAGTTAATGTTAATACTTCTTTATCTATTATCTGAAAGCAACGTTATTTTGTATATTTTTAATTTCTCGGCGAATTTATTCAACTTTCAAGATTCCATTGAATTAATTTCCATCGAGAGTTCATTGGTATCAATGACTACTGGTCTACGCGGTTTATGCAATAGATTTAGAATGGACAAGAAATCTATATCAATTCAGATGACAATTTAAATGAGTGTTCTAAAATTTATTGGAAATGCGACTACAAAAAAGCTTCGGTAAAAGCATACATGATACTTTAACAGAACCTTCCGGAGGTTTTCAGTTTTGACTTTATAAGCATTCTTTCTCACAGATAATGACTATATACAGCGTGTCGTTACCATCACGAAAATAAATGAACACACGTCTAAAGCTACTTGCCAATAATCATAAAAAAACATTCACGTTAAAAAAATCCATAAATAAAAAAATATATTTTTCGAACAAACGAATTAAGTAAAAAGAAACAAAATTTGTAACATCCTATACAACTACAACTGACTGATTCATACATTCAGAGACTTTTTCATTTGTTGCCACAGCGTCGCATTACAAGCCATTCCTTCTAATAGTATGTTTTGTCTCTTTTAATTTCATTCAACCCATTCATATGCTTTGTGACCTTTACAAATGAACTTTACGCTACAGTTTTATACAGTAAGGGTGTTCTAAAATTCTTTGTTTTGGAAAATTTAATAACTCTGTAAATATTGATGTTTAAAGAATGTAAATGTTTAATACAATTTAATAAAGTTATCCTCTATATGTGTGTTCATTTATTGTCGCTATTGTGCACGCTGTATAACGATGGATATACATACTACAATATTATACGAGGTTCATCACTATGAATTTTGTTGTTGTTTACTTAATTAATCGTTATATTAAGCGTTACATTTCTTGTTTCATTGCTTTCAAATTCAAATTAAAATATCTTTATTCAACATAGAAGCATTTTACTCACTTATTGATAGTCAAAATACTACCACCGGTTCGGAAATGAAAGCTACCAAACAGAAGAACTGGCAGAAGAAACTCATTGGGCTACATTTTTTTTTCCATTTTTGACATACATAATGTTACATGTATACAAAAAATAATATAAATAAATATCACGGTTAATGAGGTACAGCCTGGTGACAGACGGGCACACAGACAGACAGTGGAGTCTTAGTAATAGGGTCCCGTTTTACCCTTTGGGTACGGAAGCATAAAAACGTAGCCAAAATCGCTTACAAAACGATTCACATTTTGTGCCGATCCCACCTAGGTGGGATAAGGGAAGGAAAAGGGTGATGATGTTCAAGCGCTACATATCACGGCTCGTGGTGGAGTAATGTTTTTATTGGGAACTCTATCATAAATAGGACATCCACTTTAGGAAAAAAAAAGTAAAGTATCAGCCAATACATGTCCCACTGCTGGGCAAAGGCCTTCTCTGTACGAAGGGTATCAGGGCATAGTCCACCACGCGGCCCCACTGCGGATTGGCGGACTTCACATATCTTCGAAATACTTTTTTTTTGTTATTATTTCGAAAATTTATTTAATAAATTATATTTTCGAAATAATAACAAATAAAATTATTTCAAATGTATGTGAAGTCCGCCAATCCGCAGTGGGGCCCGCGTGATGGGATA